CGCAGTAATCCCATGAGGGTCTGTTTTTTCTAATTTTTTCTAATTCTGTGCTTTTTTTCTTTTTGTTTTTACCGATTCCTCCTTTTTGCAAACCCTGAGAGCTCGGATTAGACCCTTTGAATTTGTGATTATGATAACAATTAGTTCTCCAGAATGAACAGAGAGTTCATTCAATGAGGAAGTCCTATAGTTATTCCTCGTGGGTGGGGTCATTTAAGATTCTATTTCGCACATTATCAGAATAGTGCGATTGGGGTCTGAGAGTGCAAGGGCTTTTGGGCTATGTCTCAAAAATTCTGGGGTGTGATGGCAAGATTGCCCTCAAATTTTGTATAGGTAGGCTTCACCAATTTCTAATTCTATCTTCCGAAATATTTTTAAGGAGGACTGTACAGTGGGAGAACTGATACAGTGGCAGATCATTTCCCTCACAAAAACTACAGGCGCGCTTTTGAAATCAGTTATTCACTTGGAGAGGGAGGTATTTTGCCACTTTTTTGATACTTCCCGGATACTAAATTTTACTTTTTTCCCATTGGATAAGGTCCACCACTGTAGTGTATGAACTGACTATTCAGAGGCACCCAGATATTATTCGATCATCATTTATGGGAGTTCTTAAAATATGGTTAGAACAGTCCCAAAAGCCGATGAGCTCTTGGTGTTGCGCCTTTATTTTGGACTAGAATTATCGCGAAATGTTTACTGCATCATAGAATGATTATAGTCTGAAAACAGTCAGTGCTGAACTTCCCATTTTTTGACACGTAAACACAGATTTTTCTCACCAGCCAGTGGTACTCAAAAAGTCGAAATTTTTTTATGAATTGCGTCCAACACACTTTCACACTTTACTGAGGCAATTGTCATATTCCTTTATATATTTCGTCCCAGCAGATCTCTGAAAAAGCCAAGTAATTCTTGAAGCACCCGTTCTACAGTGCATTTCAAGTGCATAACTATAAAAGTCTGCACTCTGCAGCTTTGCGTACAGAACATTAACGAATGGAAAGTCCGTTCTTTGCTTTAGGGACTTCTCTTTTCATTGTTATATTGGTATGTCTTCCAGTTTATCCTTTTAGACTTTTCTGTTACGCCTTTGCGACTGTTGTTCGGATTCTATTGTAAAAAATTTCATTATAAAGTGCATTCTTTAATTTTTGAAATTATAAAATCTCAAAATTTGAGATTAAACATCTCAAAAGCAAAAGAATAAAATGCGATTTGGTTGTTGCCATAATAACATCTTTTACAGCAAGTGCAAAAGCTTGGGGGTGTTTTTATTATGATTGCTTTTTACTTTTTATTTTTTCGTTTCCTTTTTTGGTCCTCATAAAATTGAACCCTGATGTCTCATTCTTCCTGTTTTTGAAGTTATTTCTGTTGGATTGTACCAACTTTGTATTAGTATTTGTGTTAAACGCCGCCATGATGAATATCATGCGGCTGGAACGTAAGAATCGAGCCGTATTTGTCTCAAAAACAATGTAGCATTACTTGTACAGAAATTGGATACAAAGGGATTACCGAGAACTTGACATTTATTTTGATGACGAGACCCCTTGATGTATATTTTATGATTGTTTTTGTAGCATTTGCTGAAGTCATTGTGGTTGTAGGAAGTGCCTACAAGGCTTGGCAAAGCCGTTGGATGTTCGGCAGACTCTCGGCGAAGGCTCGGCGGAGGCTTGGCGAAGATTTTCAATATGGGCTCTTTTTCTAATTTTAGCTATTATTAACGTTAGTTTTGTTTACCCTATGTTATTCTAACGTATAAAAGACCCAAAATTTCGGCAAAAAGTTACAGATCCGTGACTTTTGTCTAGATATTATTGATGTGATTACATGTAAAATACCTCAAAATAGGTGATAATCTATCCTAGTACTTGATCAATCCTATTCTTTATACTAACTAAGCCTTCTCCTAGCCTCCACCATTCATACAACGCCGACACGATCCACAGTATCGTTGACCCGAACTGTTGCTGACCTGAAAAGTCATGGCGACATTTTAGATTATTTTTGCAGTTAGAACAGTAAAAAACATTGTGAAAATCCTCTTCTCTATAGCCTAATATACTCCATCCAACATCTCTCTACCTTCTACGTCAACCACATGACCCTGTTTTTCCTGAATTTTTCCTGGAACACTAATTAAACACCATTCACTATATATTCCAAAGTTAATAACTCCTTAATATCTCCTCTTAATTATCTGCACTTGAAACTCTTCATAGCTGAATTCCAGCTACGACCTGTGTGAACATAATTAATACTCCCCGGCTAATCTCCGTAAAAGTTCTCCCTCGCTTTTTTAATACGCGTGTTTACTAATTCCGCGTAAACATTCCGCTTTACAGTGCGCTTTGGAAACTTTGTAATTTCCAAGGAATGGGGATTTTAAGGGCAATGCAAAGTAATCAGAAAAGGATATTACATTCCTTTGTCAGGAGGTTCTGAAAAGTGTAATTTTTGTGGTGTAATAGGAAAGGTGTTTTTTGACTTGTTATGGTTGTTGTAGTGGATAAAAATCTAGAAAATTTTAGCTTGCGTTTGCAGGGCAGTCGATATATTGATTAATCTTTGCCGGCGGCGAAAAAGTGCACTAAATTCGGAGGTAGAGAGAAGATGACCTTTTGGTCATAAAAAAATAAATATTTATTTTGTGGAAGCCACTTTCTACGGTTGCAGAACTAGTCCAAAAAAAGTCGCCGGACTGAAATCATTTTTTTTCAATTTTTCACCTAAAAATCTCGGTGGTCTCTGCGCGCTGTAGATATTGTATATATGTCTGTTAAAACAACATTAATATAAAATAGGGCCACGTTTTTTCAACTTCACTTCATAACCCGTGCCAAGCCTGGAGCGTCATTTGAGTATTTCCCTTAATTCCCGCCTCTTGTCGTCATTGGCTTTTACAGTACAAAGGCGTGTTGCGGGGTATATTTCCCGTGCTTGCTAATTTTGGACAGCCTCATTCCTTCCGTATTTTACAAAGCTTGTTTCATGTGTTTTCGTGTCACGGGACGGCTAAAAATACTTTTCTTTTTCTTCTGTTTTTCTTGGCTGTATGCCTAAACATGGCCGGAATTTTGCATAGTCAAATCCTCAAATTTACAAAGCGTGGCGTTTTGTGATTAGTAGACCTGGTTAGTACAATTTTTTACTGGCTAATGAATAAGCATTCCTTTGCTCATTCGGCAGAAATTTAATTACCCCGCCTTGCTCAACGATTACTTTGTTTTTCGCACCGATTTTCAACACTAATTGTCAGCCAGCGGGGATTGACGTTCGGTGATGCGACGATAATTATTGGTCTCCTCTCCCAATAAACTTGGCCATTCACCGGCGGGATTCGGTGTTTGGCCGGCTGTAGATGATCACTGTTTGGTTTGAGAAACCCGTTTCCGTGTAAAGAAGTGTTGAAGGATGAGCGTGGTAAATCTTTCTTGTTATTGCCAACGGCCGTCTGGAGATTTGGAAACGGCAAGTTGCGTGCTTATGTAATATTTTTTGTATTAATAGACATAGTTTTTTAGAGGAAGCGGTTTTGTAGCATGCTTTCCAAAAATTCAATATTTGGTCAGTGTAGCTGAAAATACACGCCATTTACAGTAATATAGCGACGTAGAGCTGTTAGAATTAATTTTATCACAGAATTGTCCAAAAGTATCAAAAGGTATCAATGATACTTTTTGATACTTTTTGCAATTCAGATTGTATTTTCATGACAATTGTTCAAAACATAATACTGCATGCATATAAGCTCCGCTCGTCTACTATACAAGCAAAATTGGAGTGTTGTTTGACGTGCTGCGATGGTAAAATTATCTCTATTTTGTCTGGCCGTTTTAAGCAGCTTTTCTTCGAAAATGTCTCACAAATTACCAGTCTTCTGCATGGAATCATCTTTGAAAATGTGAGTAAACCAACGACTCCTCAACCGGCAATTAGATTTCAAGGCGAGTAATTAGAGTCATACGGCGGTTTAAACCCGCGAATGTAGGGATTTGTGAAGATATTACTTAAGAATTTCGATGTCATTTCCTTTTTTGCTTAGTATACGGACATATACTTAATGGATCCGTTGAGTCCGTGATATACGTTCCTCTTTGTTGCAGGGATTTACTTTGACTTTTACTTTTGAGTTAACGGAAAAGGTGGGCTTTTTGCGTTAGCAAAAACGTCGTTCTGTTAAAATTTTCTTCACTTTCTCCAGTTCTGCATATGAAATTGTACGCAGAATACAAAGTTAACCTTGATTTTTGCTCTAAAAATTACCTAGCCTATTTTTTTATGCCATATATTTTTTATGAAGTATTCTACGTGAATTTTTGGGCCAAGGTTCAACTGCCGTCCTTCCTTCGGACTCTAAACTTGTACGTCAATTTGGTCCTTTTCAATGGCAAATTAGCGGGTTTTTAAGGCTATTTATATCGTCGATTGCCAAATTAGCCATTTCAAGTCATGTCAGACCAATGTAGAGTAAAAGCCGTCACAGCCATCAGCAGTACTTCATATATACTTTTTTCCAATACATATATAAATGATGGCTAGACACTTTGCTTCTTGGAAGCTTGGTACCACATACACACATACATGGAATGACCTTTTTTGTCTTTAGCGAGCCGTTCCAACGCCTGTCACTAATAATTAATTAGCCATATACATTTTTCCTTTGACTTGTCGCACTTTTAACGCAACTTTTTACTTTCCCTCAACTTTTTCACTTTAAATTTTTCTCCCCACATCACTGTGAACTTTCTCATCTACTTTTACCTCCCCTAACAAAAAATTTGCCATACAATATACCAGATAAAATTCTCACGTCACCATAATTAGTCATCAAATTTGAATTTTTGACCCCATTGGTTTTGTTTTCTGTCATCCCCAATTTGCAGCAAGTTCAAGATGTCTATTTTCTATTTTGTCGCGAGAAAATTACCCATTTGGGCCGGATTTTTTGCAGATTCTTTTGCTTGCAGATTTGGCCAAAAACCATGTGGCCAGATTGGAGTTTGTGGAACGAAACCGATCGCAGTGGCCTTATAATGGATGTGCCAACCACCTCCGACGAACGAAGGTTCTACGAGAGCTGTGATCCCATACAATATTCCAGTCATAACGTTACGACTTTTGTGTATCAACAACTGGGAGAGCGGTGTGTCACGGTAAGGAGGAATATGACAAATCTTTTGGGATTTTTTGAATGTTTGGTCTTTTTTATAATTAAAGGTGGCACAAAAAATGGCAACGTTTTTAATGGGCCTGGCCTTTTTATGAAAACTTTTTTTATGGGTCCTGCCGCGAAAACCGTTAGGTGTTACCAAATGATTTTTCTAATGTTAAATTCTCCGTGCTTTTCTGCCCTAGGCGGTTGATTTTCATGACCAAAACGACCATGGTTTTAAGATATTCAAGGCTTGTTGTTCGACAGGGTCACTGCTTTTTTTGATGGTTATTTTAGGCCGGATCAGAGTTTTACCTGCAATTTAATTTGTCGTTCTTCAAGCTCGTATTTTAAAATTCTGTAAGAACTTTTTCAGACACTTTTTTTATACTATCCATAACAAATCCTACTATTAAAAAATCTTGTTGTCTCACTGCCGCCACTTTTGTTCTCAGAAATCTGTCTGATGTTGTCTTACCTCGAACTCCCCCAAGATATTTCCTCACCCATCAATTAGGATCTCAATCTTCTAATTCACACGTTTTCAGCCGGCCGTCACGTTTCCTACCGTAGTCATTTATGGGATGATTTTGCTACTCGGTTTCGTTGGCAACCTCTGCACTTGTATTGTCATCGCGACGAACAAGAGCATGCATAATCCCACAAACTACTATCTCTTTAATCTCGCCGTCTCCGATCTCCTCATGCTCATTTTGGGTAAGATATCAGAGGTGGTAGACTTGATAGAAAATGATGATGTTTAAAACACGATTTCTGACTCGGTGAATTAGCCGTGGACATAGGAATTTTTCGATTTTGAGATTTACAGCTGGATATGTCCGCACCCATCATATAAGTGTGTTCCTGAAGCCTTTTGCCCTAATTCTCCCGTTAACCTAAATTTATTTACAATTTAAGAAATTTACAGTAACGTCAAATAACCCAAAATCGAGAAGACGTAGAGCCGAAAAACTGTGGCCATGTATGTTTTTGGGCACTGGGAATCCAATGGAGGTGATTTGGGATCGAAAGGATTACTGTAACATAGCAAACTTACGCTTCGGCCGCACAAAATCGGCCGTAAAAAAGTTGTTTCTAAAAACCCACAGCTGAATTTTTGATATGTTAATCAGCATAAAATTCTGCCCTAGAAACATTCAAAAAAAGTCCAAAAATCCGTGTTGCTATTTTCGTGGTATAGTGGATTTTGACAAAATCTACCAATCTGACGTCCCGGGTTCGAGTCCGGGTGGGCGCAAATCACTGAGAATTGGTCGGGAATGACTTCAATGAAGGGAATATATAAGCTTGAGTTTATTTTAGGTGATTTTGATAAGATTCTGACAGTTTTCAGATTTTTTTTGCCTAAAAAAGCCGAAAATACAACTTTTTGACAAATCGTATTTTACACTGCTTTTTTGTGTTCATGACACAATAAGAATGTATATGTAGTGTTTGTAAGGTGTCTCCAACAAGTAGAAACCATTTCCTGAGTATTTGGACATTATACTTGGTATCTGTTAATCTTGCCTCATACAGACATCTGTGGGAACTATAATCTTGGCTAGTGACAACGTAATTCACTGCTTTGTGACCATACTTCACATTTTTTTCAGAAAACGGTTCATTATTGAAGTGATTTTCTTCTATAGAACAATTGATGAAACGCGGAGAAAATTTCATTTTCAAACTAGATTTCTTGTGGTTACCCGCCAAATAATTGAAATTTTATGCTAGTTATACCATTTACGGACAATTTGGCAAGTCAGAGCAAAAGAAAGTGCAATCTGGAAGATCTATCCACTTCCTGCTTATCAGGTGTCAAGTACAACATTAAACAAATTTTTTAACGGGTGGGATTGTCGAAGAACCCCTTAAAATTGTTACATATAAGTTTTTATTGTGTCATGAACACAAAAAAACAGTGTAAAATACGATTTGTCAAAAAGTTGTATTTTCGGCTTTTTTCCACCAAAAAATCTGAAAACTCTTCAGAATCTTATAAAAATCACCTAAAATAAACTCAAGCTTATATATTCTCTCCATTGAAGTCATTCCCGACCAATTCTCAGTGATTTGCGCCCACCCGGACTCGAACCCGGGACGTCAGATTGGTAGATTTTGTCAAAATCCACTATACCACGAAAATAGCAACACGGATTTTTGGACTTTTTTTGAATGTTTCTAGGGCAGAATTTTATGCTGATTAACATATCAAAAATTCAGCTGTGGGTTTTTAGAAACAACTTTTTTACGGCCGATTTTGTGCGGCCGAAGCGTAAGTTTGCTATGTTACAGTAATCCTTTCGATCCCAAATCACCTCCATTGGATTCCCAGTGCCCAAAAACATATATGGTAACAATTTTACGGCTCAGTATCTTCTCAATTTTGAGTTATTTGACGTTACTGTAAATTGCTTAAATTGTAAATAAAACAAGGTTAACGGGAGAATTAGGGCAAAAGGCTTCAGGAACACACTTATATGATGGGTGCGGACATATCCAGCTGTAAATCTCAAAATCGAAAATTTCCTATGTCCCGGCCTTGCACACGGCTGATTCAGTGAGTCAGAAATCGTGTTTTAAATGATACTTAATGTTGTTTTTGGCTGCAAAATTTTAATTTATGACATTGAAAAAATTTTAAGATATCAAGATCACTAAAAATTCGCATATTTCAAAAAAAATTTTGTTGAAAAAATATCATACCTTAAATTTTTTTAAATAAAAAAAATATTCAACACTTTTATGCAAATTTCCTATATTAAAAATGAAAATTTTAATATCCAAATTTGCAGGTCTCCCTATGGAATTATGGGGTGTTTTTGACGTTGTGTACCCATATCGTTTCAATGCATTCTTCTGCAAATCCAGGGCATTCCTAATCGAATTTACAAGCTGTGCCTCAGTATTAACGATGACGTGTTTTTCCATTGAACGGTGGCTGGCAATATGGTAAGTGGAGACATTTTGATTTCACTGAGACTTGACCACAATTTGGTACAGAAATGAAACGCAACAGAGCTTTTTAGCTTGATGCTTCTGAAAGAACCGTCATTTTGGGTCAACACAGTTGATGTTTTTTCTGTAATATTATACTTATTTTTTTCGGATATGAAAAATTGGGGGTCTATTCGAGCCCAAGTGAATAATGTTTCCACAAAAAAGCAATTTTTTGTGGCACTTTTTGTGTTCGAAGAGTTATTCCCAAAAAACAATTCTTTTTTGTCTGATCGACCCTCCTCATTTTATGTACTCTCGCGAAAAAGAAAAAAATCGTTGATTTCCTCGGCTTTTCTTGAAGACCGGACTCTAAAATTGTTTGTGAAAAAATATTCGTATATCTTGACTGGCCTACTTGGCCTATGTGAAATTTCCAAAAAACTTTTTCACAAATTTTCCAAAACTCTTTTCCTCTTAAAAATTTCTGATCACACCCTGTTTCAACCATCAAAATTTCATTTTCAGCTACCCTCTCAAGCACAAGAGCTTCTCCTCCTGTTACCGCGCCACAATCGCCATAATTGGAGTGTGGATTCTCTCCTTTGTGATGGCCTCTCCAGTCCTTCAGATCGTCGTGATAAACAAGCTCCGAATTCCGTTCGAATCGCTGACTGATCCGTCTTGGCTGCATCCCAGCATCACGTCGGATGGGCATACAATTATTGGCACGGATTTTTGCGCCATGGACTTTGACGATCATTTGTCCCAAATGATTTTTATTCTCGGCGCCTTCTTTGGGTTCTTCATTTTCCCGGCCGTTGTGATTACTGTTCTGTATGCGCATATTATGACGACGATCCGGAAATCGGACCAGTATTTAACGACGGACCAGCAACAGAATGCGAGGAATAAGAAAATCATCAAAATGTTGCGTAAGTTTTTTTGGAATTTTTTTTTTTTTTTTGTATGGCCAAAATTGGTTTTAAAGATCGTTCAATATCTTGGCTACCCCTAAAAATCGTGAGCTAAAATTTTTAGGAGTATGCAATAAAATACGAGTAGAAATTTGATTGTCTATTTTTTTCACTTTCCGTTTTCCATTTCCTGTAAAATTTCGGTTCTCTGGGACCACATTAAAAACCCAAAAAATGGAAGCTTACTAGCCCGACTTGTTTGCGCTACAACTCTTCTGTCCTACACAAAAATATTAAAGAATTTTTTTGTTGAAGCTATTGCTACAGTACTCTGTTAAAACCAGAGAAAAAGTCTGTTTTGTGTCGTTACCATGGTTGTTACACTAAAAAATTTTTCGCAAAAACATTTCTCGGCTGAATCTCACAATCAGAAAAATCGTTGACAGTTTTTGCCAGTCGAAGGTTGAAGCTTTTATCGATAAATTTTTTGCCTAATAAATGCCAGCGGCTAAAAAATTAGACAACTTTTCCGACAATATCTGGGGCAAGGCGGCTTTGAAAATCTTCATTGTCCCAAAACCACCTTTCACGGCATTTTTAAAACATATTTCTTTCAGTAGCAGTCGTTGTGACCTTCTTCATTTGCTGGACGCCCTTTCATCTGCAACGAATTCTCGCCATCTACGTGACGAATCTGAATCCAACTCCATCCGAGGCCCTCACCAAGCTCTACAATTACATCTTCTACTGTTCCGGCTACTTCTACTACTCCAACTCGGCGTTGAATCCGGTGCTCTACAACATCATGTCGACGCGTTATCGGCGCGCCTTCAAGAACACGATAATGTTCCCATTCCCGAGCTGCAAAGACCGGATTATGGTCAAGGCGAATTCGTTGTCGAAGCCGCGGAGTTCGGTGAGTCGGATGTCAACGTTCCGGTTCAGCATGGACCGGGGGATAAATCGGCATCACAAAACGAACAGCAGCGAAGACACGAGGAGCACTTTGATTCGCCATGGGACGAATGGAAGTCAGAAGGTTGTGTTGGCCAAGGTTATAACGACGGACGCTCCGTAGAGAGTTCGCCTTGAACGGGATGCTACCTCAAAGTACGAGAATTTGATCCAGGTGGAACTTCATCTTTTGATCGGAATGGAATGTAATTTGTCAATCTACCGTCTCGATTTGTCATCTTGTCAAACAAGAGTCTTAGTCGTTTCTGTGTAATTGCAAAACGAAGATTTTGCAAGTGTCTGAAAAAGGTTCTATTCAGCACGTTCGAAAATTGAGCGGTCACGAGTACAGTGGCGGACCTGGTCCAGTGGCAAAAAACGTACCATTTTGCTTACGGGAAGTATCAAAAAATGTGGCAAACTGCCTCCCTCTCCAAGTGAAGAAAACCCCAGATTTCACAATCAAAAGCCCTCTTTTTGTGAGGCAACGGGCGCGCCCTTCAAAACGAAGTTTTTTGGTTGGAAAGGGAGGCATTTTGCTGCATTTTTTGATACTTCCCGGATGCAAAATTATTACGTTTTTTACCACTGGATCAATTTTGTCACTTTAGACCGCCAATATCTTACTTTCAAGCGTCATGATGACTAACTGATAAGTGAAATGGCTGATAAAAAAAGCTCTCCAGTTCCCAAAATATTGTACCTTCAATTTCTATTCTGTGCCAAAACCCGATCTCATTTCTCTCTTCGAACATTTACTATCGACTTAACGCTCGTTTCTGTACATATCAAGATTGTATATCACGCGGAAAGTATTCCTAAAAGCAACCTCCAAAGCTTGTGTATTTTGCTGCATAATTTGTTTTTGAATTGAAATAATAAAATTATTTATTGAATTTCGAATCATTCATAAGTTTAAAGAGAACTCTATCACTTGCGTCACAGTACTCTGGATGGGCGTGACTTGTTGCGTTCTGTTTCATTCGACTACAATTTTTGTGCCCTTACTTCAGCCCATCAAATTGAACGAACCCGAAAGTGATCACAGCACAAAGCGGGAGCAAATGTTACGCTGTGGAATCAAAGAACGCAGACATTGGTTATGGTTGGAGTTAGTAGCCCGATCTGTGATGTGTATGGTTAAACAGAGGAATGAAAGGTATATAAAGCCGATGGAAACGATACCTTTCGGAACATTTTTTCTCGGTTCCTTAGCTCTCAAGGGTGTTTGTGTTCTGCTTATTTGGATTGTGTTTTGGTCCACGGTTTTGTTTTTGTCTGGTGATGTCATGATGATATAATAGTCATTGTCAATATTTCCTTGGAACCTTAGATTATGAAAAATCATAGATCAGTAAATGGATTGGGGCGGTTTGTCAGAACTTGACGTTTTTGGCGGTCTTAGTTGGTAGGCTCTCATTTAGCCTTGGCTTAAAGGTTCTACGCAGAGTTGGTAGACTTGTACAGTGACGGACCGTGGAAAAAATGTATCATTTTGCATCCGGGAAGTGTCAAAAAATGTTGCAAAATGGCTCCCTCTCCAAGTGAAAAACTCCGATTTCAAAAGCGCGCCTCTCTGTGAGAAACCCTTCAAAACGGAATTTTTTTCACTTGGAGAGGAGGTATTTTGCCACATTTTTAATACTTCCCCGTTGCAAAATGGTACATTTTTGCTACTGAATCAGGTCCTCCATTGCAGGCCCTCATTTAGCGCTAGCCTGTAGCTTTACCCGGAGTTGGCAGACTTTAGCTTGACCCCTAAAGATTCTACGAGTTTGTTCCCAAGACAAGACCCCCCCCCCCATGCCCCATTTTTCTACGGCATCCTGGGAGGTTCTATAAAAGCCTCCCCTCTATTTTTTCCCTACTTTATTATGCTCTAAACTCTAATCAGTTAAAAATATAAACACCGTCATAATCGTTCATTTGAAGTGTACTTTTAATCATAGATCTTTTAGTCAGTCAGTTCATTGACCTCTCAGCCCATAGTACACTCTTAATACTTGTTATCCATAGCTGTCAAACCAATGTACACTTATGTTAACGTTTTGTGTTCCTTATAAAATCCAAAAATTCATGAAATTGGATACAGAATTTGATTCGACAAAATCAAATCATTCCTGACTTTTTAAAAAATACTGTCACAATCAGCCGTATAAAGAGTCGTATTCACTTCCTACTTCTTATCACCCGAAGACGTCTGGATGACTGACGGTTGGGCGATAAGAGACTAATAGTCAAAGCATCATGTGTAGTAAATTCGCTTCGCCTTGTGATTATGAGTTTTGGTCGTAGATAAAACTTATCTTTGACCAAAGTATACGCTCTTGTTTTCGACGATACGACCCATATTTGTCCAAGGAAGATAACGAAAACTATATAACCAAGATCAATTTTGTTGTCGGCATAGTTAATAGTTTTGGGAAGCAGCGGAACCTCGATTCGTTACCTCAAAACATGACGTCTTTGGCGAATCGCGTTTTCGCTGCCGGCATAAATTTGAGTCAAGTTTTTCCCTGGTGAAAAAGTCTGTCCCTCTCGAAAAAGATTTTTTTTGTGTTTGCTCGATGTTGCGCATGGTTTTTTCCGGAATCCCGAGTCGGAAACTGTCTGAATTACGTATTTTCAGCTAGCTTGATTCTTCCTCTTTCGATTGATATGCAAAATATTATTTTTCTTGCTGGAGAACTTGTCGAATTTTATTATGTTGTGCCGATACTTTTAGGACCATGTATAACATCGAATTGCATAATTTGGCTGATTTACCTGTAAGAAACTTATTTCTTTAGGTAATAGAGGAAAGATTACGATGTGGGATGGCTGTATCCTTCTAAATTGTCTTCATTTTTTGAGGGCTCGATACCAAACTATTTTTTGTAGAAGGACTATACTCAAACTGATTGAACTAGGTCTTTTTAGCTATCCGGCATCGTAATCTTTCATCTGCTTCCTAAAAGACTAAGTTTCTTGCCGGGGAACTCACCAAATTTTGCGATTCGATGTTATACATGGACCTAAAACCCTCCCTAACAACGTTACGAAATTCTAGTGGTTTTCCGGTAAGAAAAGCAACAGTTTGCATATCAATCGAAAGAGGAACAATCAGGCTGCCTGAAAATACCCAATTCAGAGAGTTTCCGAGTCGGCTTTCCAGAAATAAGCCCCATCTTTTTTCTCCGGGGTTTGGTATCGCAACGTTATCGTACTTTCTAAATATTGGGCTGGTTTTTTTTCATTACTTCCGTAATTTTTCCGAATCACAACTTCTCTTTTCTACATGATCACAGTATTGGATTAATTATGTTTTTTTCAGAAGATGAACATAATACTAACACTCTTTCTCCTCGCATCAGCAGTGTGCGCCAAGAAGATTTTGATCATCCAGGATGCCGTTGGGAAAAGTCACATGCAATTCAGCGGCACCTTGACGGACAAATTGGTTGACCGAGGGCACGTTGTGGTAAGTGCTGTTAGATCTTTCTTTATTTTTATTTTTATTTTTTTTTTTTTTTTGCTTTTTAGTTTATCCCATCTCTTTTTAGGACAAACTTGTCTTCCGATGGAACCCGCTGGTCACCATGAACGGAACAAAAAAAGCCCGTCGAATCATCGATGTTGTTGACCATGACACCCCTTATGGCCGAGTCGCTCATCTTGCAGATCCCTTTGCTCACAACCCCAAAGATGGATTCAAAACATTCGCTGACACTCGGCTCCTCTTTTGCGAGCGAACCCTCGAAAACAAAGCGTTGGTGGAGGATTTGAGGGCCGAAAATTACGATTTGGCCATGGTGACCCCATTCGAAGGCTGTGGATTGGCGTTGACGCACATTTTGGGGATCAAATCCCGGGCGGTTTTTGTGGCCACGTCAAGCGCGGACTATGTGTTTGAGGGATTGGGAATTCCCACTCCGCCAAGCTACATATCTTGTAAGTTGCATTAGTTGTTTTTGTGCCGTGGGGGGCCTGATCCAGTGGCAAAAACGTACCATTTTGCATCCGGGAAGTATCAAAAAATGTAGAAAAATACCTCCCTCTTCAAGTGAAAAGACTCCGATTTCAAAAGGGTGCCCGCTTTTTTTATTATGAGATTTTTTATAGCTTCAACTCGGAGTTTTTGTAGTTGGTCCGTCACTATAATATAAATTGTTAATCTATCAGTACTTATCATTCTTTTTCAGACGTTTTCGAGCCAGTTTCCCCCGGCAAAAAACTAACTTTCTCTGAACGGCTCAGCAATTACGTCAAATGGTTCCAAAAGAACGATCCTCAAGGATTTTGGTCCAAGTATCGGAACCTTGAAGACCCTGTGGTTCAAAAGTATTATCCTGGAACCCCGAAATACACTGAACTGTTCAAAAGCGTCTCCTATGTGTTTTTGAATATGAACGAGCTACTGGATATTGGGCAGCCGATTTCGTCAAAGGTCAAGTTCATTGGGGGAATTCATGTGGAAGATGGGCTGAAAAAGAAGACAAAGGAGCTTCCTCAGGTAAAATACGAGACTTTTTTTTAGTTTTGAATCTTATTTCTTATACTTTTGGTTCTAAAAGTTATATTATTAGTTCTAAAAATCCTTTTCTTTCAGGAATACGAAGAGATTTTGTCCTCAGGCCCTAAGGGAACCGTGATTTTCTCGCTTGGATCTCAAGTCGACATGAATCTCGTCCCAATGGAGATAAAGAAGGCCCTAGTGAAGGCGTTTTCTCATTTCTCGGATTACAGCTTCATCTGGAAGCATGAAAACCCAGGAGTGGCGTCAATGGTAAATTCGACTAACATCTTCTTCAAGAAATGGATTCCACAAAAGGAGTTGTTGGGTAAGTTTTTTTTCTAGTGTCACATAAGGTTGACCCTTGGTTTTTGCTGAAGTTTTGCATAGATTTAGAATAGGGTGTCTATGTTTTAATCTAAAAGCTTTGACGGGCAAAATTCGCTGCTGTTCGGATAGAATCGGACATAAAATTGCAATCATTGACAGCTTAATTTCCCCATTTTTCAGCCGACCCACGGATCCGTTGTTTCATCACCCATATGGGTCTCAACTCCTACCTTGAACTCGCCTATTCCGGAGTTCCAACCGTCATGCTCCCCCTCTTCGCCGACCAAGAGTTCAATGCTGGCGTGGCCGAGAGGAAAGGCCTCGGAGTTCACGTCAAGAAGACCAAGATCACCTATCAAAGCCTGCTTCAAGCCCTCCACAAGGTCCTTAACGATCCCTCTTTCAACGAAAACGCCAAAGTTTACGCCGAAATGCTGAGAAATCAACCGGACAAACCGAGCGAAACCTTTGTCCGATACGTCGAATACGCTGCGGAGTATCCGGCGTTGGCGGAAGTGATCTCATTGCCTTCAACTGAACTGAGCTTTTGGGTGTTCAACTCATACGATGTACTCGCATTCTTCGCTGGATGTGTGCTTTTTGCGGCTGTTTTGGCAGCATTGACGTTGCGTGTCGCATTTCGGTGGCTTTCTCAATATCGTATCCTTAGGGAATCCAAGAAAAAAGTAGAATAGAGAAAATAACTTTAATATTATATTTATTATGTTTGTTTATGTACATATTATGGAATATCAATAAATTGTAAATATCTTCGAGTTGTTTTGACTTACAAAAGAAGTTGGACTAAAATTTTTCTGTGTGGGAAACTTGGATTAGTTATAACTCCACAAAATATTTTTATAACATTTATTTATTTACAGATATTATTATTAAAATACAACCGCAATAAATGATATTACAATTTGGCTGGGAAAAATAATGGGTTGTCAACACAAGACTTTCGTTGACAATTCAAACATTTCACGAAAATCCCGTGGTGGGACACAAGTTCGGCGATGCATGTTGCACAACCAACCACCTTCAGGCACTGGAGGCAGTACATGGGGTCCTTGGCTTCGTCTTCTAGGCATACATGACACACATCGTTCTCAATCTTGACTTCTCTCTGTGTCGAGTTGACGAGGTCCAAGAACATTCTGACAAGGAAAGTACTTTTATGGGGGCTCCTACTTTTTGACGGGACATACCTCAAAAAATCAGAAAAAATGTGCTGATCAAGGATATATAAATCTTAGCTGCCCATTTTGGGCTTTTAGGGGTGAAAATGCCCAAAAACTGGCTCAATTTCCCTACAAAAGGCGCATGCATTCGAAACGATAAAAAGCGCAGTCGGTCTCTTCCTTCGGAAGAGAGCGGTGTGGCCGAGTGGTTAGTGCCGTAGTCGGGGAATCAAGAGGGGGGACGCCGCACGGGTTCGATTTCCCTTTTGGGCTGAATCAACTTTTTTGAAGTTGAAGGTCGGAAAAATAAATTTTTGGGCCAAGACTGATCTATTACGTCTTAGAAACTCAATAAACATCATTTTAAGCCAAAATAAAAATTGTAAACCCGTGAAAAATTAGACGAAAAGGGGTTCATATAGGACTTTAAGTCAACTTCCGATTGAGTTTTCACCCCTAAAAACCTAAAATGGGCAGCTAAGATTTATATATCCTTGATCAGCACATTTTTGCTGATTTTTTGAGATATGTCCCGTCAAAAAGTAGGAGCCCCCATAAAAGTACTTTCCTTGTGAAAATAATCAAACTTAAAATTGTTGGACTCAAAAAAAACTAATACAAAAATTGAAAATAAAATAAAAACTCACTTATTATATTCGCCGATCATGTTGCCGAATACATTCATAATCGTATTCACGTCGTCCTCTGGGTGCATCATTCCCGGATCCAGAATGATTGGCATTATTTCTTCTATCTCATCCATTATCTCAATCATTTTTTCCACGTTTCTTCGATGCTGATCGTGGTCGAATGGGCGCGATGGAAGATAATCCATGTTGGCCGCCAGAAAGGCCTTCATTTCTTCAACCGAGGAGTCGGGGACCATCGGAGAGGACATGATGATGGAGATCGTCGAAGAAATGGAAGGTGGAACGCGTTGACTTGAGGAAGGCAAGTACGAATGAATAAGAAGAATTCTGAGCTTACGAATTTTTGAAAATTTCTGCATTGCTTGATTAAATTTTTGATCTTTTCTGCCAAGTTTTTAATTTTTCTGTTGCGCAATGTTTCCATGTTTTAACAATTTCTAGGTTTGAAAACTTTCTGCATTCTCTTTTTGACTGAATTGTCTGCCGTTGGGGTGTTTCATTTGGAGTAGACCGGTCATTGGCCCAATAAGTATAGCTAATGTTGAAAAATTGTTTCGCCAGATAGCCAATCAGCTGAAATGACAGACACGTTTCCTAAATGGCTCAAGTGTCAGAATAGCTTGGAAGCCTCGAAAAAAGCTAACCGAAGGGTTGGAAAGGATGTCAAAGAGTAGGAGTCCAACAATTTCCGTTTGGCTTGTAATTTATTCCTAATTGGCCCTTTGCAATTTTTTCATAATTTCACGTAACAATGTTATCCTTCTCCACAAAATCGCGGAAAACAACGCAAACCTGACCCAAAACATAACGTATGCTTTGAAACTAGAAAAATTCAGCTGTAAAAACTTTGGGATCGTTCAAACAAGCACTTTTTTCATTTATCGATCCCTCAACGTTTCTTTTTGTTGTTTATGCAGTTCACGTTTCTTAAGGATATTTTCTTCTTTAATTGAACTATTGACGATTTGGATGTCTTTTACAAACGGGCGTTTCGTAGCGCGTGACATTGTCGTTGCGCAGACACATTTTATTGTTTTCAAGGCTGAAAAAAGTCTTTCAAGTATAATTTTAGACTCCAGTCTTTGAAAGTACATATTTCGAAGGAACTGTGGGATTCTCTAAAAATTTTTGATGATTTTGTTCTTCAGCTTACATCGCGTCCTTTTAATTCCGAGTTTCTTTATAACTGCAGCAAATGTATTTATCAGGACTGTTTTTCTTCCGGGAGTAAAGAAAGATTTTCTTCATCTGGCCATTATAATAAGGCAACTCAGTCTATACGAATTTAAATTTCGTAATAAACCTTAAATTTCAAGTCGCAAAATGAGCCTGAATGCTTCATCAACAAGCGGTTGCGCCGTTTGTGGCGAGCGTCACCATGGAAAGCATTTTGGAGTTCTGGCTTGCCGTGCGTGTTCGTCTTTTTGGCGACGATCGTTGGTTGAGAGAAAACGCTACAAATGTCGAGGGAACGGCAACTGTCAAGTCGAAAGGGCAGAAATGCGCAATGCTTGCAGAGCATGTCGTCTGGAAAAATGTCGTCAAGTCGGGATGAAAGTTGAAGTACCCTCAGCAGATATTCACGAAGATACTCCATCCTGCTCGGAGCACGAAGGTGTGATCAACGTCGAGGACAGCCTACCGTTGGATTTGTCAAACCCGAATGTTATCTGTGTTGATGTAGGTGCCACTAAACGGCTGAAAATTGTTCTTTAGCCAGCAGCTTGTCCCACAAGGGAGCTGGAGAGGCTAGCAGCGCACTATAAGACCTTTTGTAGCGCCGAGCGATCGATGTACATGTTGGAGAATCCGGATGACTTATTCAACACATTAGAGGTAAGGCTAGAAATACTTTCCAATCTGGCCGCCCTCTCCGTGTCTGCTCTGTATTCCGCAAATTACTATATGATTTGCAGGACATGAACTTTAAGCCTCTTAGACGCACCGAGCACATTCGAATGGAACGTGGAACAATTGCATTGGTTTTCTCGTTTCTTATGGACGCTTCTGCATTCTTCAAAGCATTTCCTAGAGAGACCAAATTGCAGATAATGCGAACTTTCTACTACGAGTTTGTATGTGTACACCGAGCATTCGCCTCGACCAAGATCTCGAAGCCTGGCCAGCCACTGGCGCTGGTGGTTCATTATGGCTATTATTGGGACGACGATTACGCGAGTACATTCTTTGAAGGCTCAGACAAAATAGAAGAGCATACGGCGTTTACTCGACCGTTTATTCAAGGCATGATCCATACTGTTGCTGCAATGAAGGAGTTGAGAGTTACCGAGATGGAGCTGATGGCCATAGCTATGATTATGTTTTACAACAATCGTAAGTTTTACTCCTGTTATTGGTTGACTTGTATTCGGTAATCATATGCTGAAAAAATTATGGAAACATATAACCCGTTTTAGTTCACGATCTACACCTAATGACACCGGAAATTCAAGCCGCATCCGACTCCATGAACCATGAACTTGTATATAATGTTGTTTCACACTTTGGAGTTGGTAATCTGGGCCCAAGACTTGGTAATATTCAACGGTTTGCTCATCATGTTGTGGTAAGTCTGGAAACGCACTTGGCAATTAGTCTCTTCAGAAGAGAGCCAGCGAGCTGCAGGAGTTGATGGTCATGGCCAAGGTCTTCTTTCCGTATGCGACATCTGAAGTCTGGGAAGATCTAAACCAGTGTGCTACTCCAACACCGTCGGTTTACTAGAGCAAACTTAAACATCTTTTAAATCTATGAAATAATACTACTGTATGCATACCTCAAAATTCATTAAACGCAAAAAACTTGTGGCATGTATATAAGGGTCCAATGAATGGGTTACAAATTGTTTCAGGAAGATATGGAGAGCAAAGTAGACTCGCAAATAAATTATTATACTTGGTCCTTCCGCAAACGTTGGTAAACCAAACCGTTGCTATATCCACATTATTTTTTTTAGTTTTGCAAGGCCTAACTTCTTACCGGCTGGCCCACACACTATCCTTGTTACGCCTCTTGCGGGGAAGTAAAAGACGCCATAGGTATTAAAATAAAGTTGTGATGTGGGCTCTGCTCACACACTACGACGTTGCGGCAGACTTCTTAACATTGCCTTACACCTCTATTTTCCGTTACGAGCAAAAGAGAAATGTAGTTTAACCTCGCAAACTTCCTTGTTTGTTTTTCAACCAATTTCAACTCTATTTTCACACCATTGCTATTTCAAGCTAATGTGTAGGAACGTTGCAACGTAACCCTGCAGATATTGAAAAGTAAAAAGCTGTCCGAACGCCATTGTTTTTCCCATCCGCTATTTCAATTTTGGTCTTCAGAGCAGGGAAGTTTTCGTCACTTTGCTTTCACTTGCCTCTCACTCCCGATCGACCCGTCGTGATAATGAAGAGTGTGTCGACCATGCTTTGTCTGACTTCTCTTCCCCTTCTGTAAATAACTTTTCCGTATGTAATTACCTTTGGCGATCAAAAGGTTTTCTGAAAGTGGGAAAATTTTTGGGAACGTTAAGTAATCAATACGGACATGAAAATCAAAGGGCTAGGAAAAGCGCGGAGAATTTAATGGTAAAAATCATTTGGCTGGACTTAAAGGCTTTTGCGTCAGGGCCCTTGAAAAAAGTCGAAGTTTTTTATGATCATTGGCAAGAAATATGTAATAGGCTGCTATGAAATAAAAGACCTCGGTTTAGAATAATCTTTATTTATTTTTGAATTAATCAAAACTCGAATCAACTTTCCTTCTTGATTCTTTGTTGTTTTAAGTCCCATATTACTCAGAAATTTCTCAAATGGAGTCCCCAACTCCATGTGGAGTCTGTAGTATAAAGTCATCGCATTTTCGCTCTTTTTCCAAAAGCCTTATCGGTTAAGAATTGCCGTTTTATTACACAGCAGACAGCCCGGAGTATAGACTTTGCTTTTTAACACCGAAAAGAGCGTCTTTTTACTGATGAAGGATAATTATCATGTATGATTAGTTTGGTTTTTTATACTTGGCAATTCGTCCTAGACTCGCGTTAAAGGTCGCCACAAACTCTGAAGAACCCGCTTTCATCGTTCAAAAATCATTCGTTGACCTTTTGATGATAACGGGTCTAATGGGCAGCTTTAGACACGGAGCGTGTGTCGCCGCTCGTCGTTGGTATAATAAAATTACTATTGATTTGAACTTTTTCAAGCGTTATTTTTGATTATTGAAGGTTCTTTTAATTCTTTCAATCTTCGGTTTCCTTATTGCGGGTTTTAGTGCTTATTTTTCATCCTTTTCATCACGTCGTAATTCAGTTCCCAACCTTAATGAGCCAAGGCTCCCCAACTTACGAATGCGCCGTTTGCGGCGAGAAACACAATGGCAAGCATTTTGGGGTTCAAGCCTGCCGTGCCTGCTCATCATTCTATCGCCGCTCGCTGGTTGAACGCAAAGTTTACAAATGCCGAGGAAACGGGAAATGTCCAGTGTCGAATGAAATGCGAAATTCTTGTCGAGCCTGCCGCCTAAGGCGTTGTAAGCAGGTCGGGATGATTGGAGCTCGAATTCGATCAGTTGAGATTGTGGAGGAATCTCCGTCATGCTCGAAAGATGGGTCCACGGCGCTGGATATTACTAAAAACATGGAGAATCCGAGTCAGATCTTCTTTCATGTAAGGGAGATCTCTAAATGAAAAGTTCATGGTTGCTATTATATATTATTATGTATGCATTTTCATCCCAAGAATATGATTTTAGCCCTCCAACTGCCCTACCAATTATCTCGAGAAATTCGAGGCTCATTACCGAAACTTTTGCAGCGCTGAGAGATCAATGTATATCATTGAGAATCCTGAAGACTTGTTCAGTACGTTTGAGGTGAGTTCTTTAATTTGCTCTTGCCATTTAGTCAAAAAATCAAGCTCAAAGAAGCTACTGCGCATCTTACATCAGGGATGGAAAATCAACTGTCTTTCTACGATGTAGAGGGAGTTACAGCCAAGAAAATTAACCGTCTTGAATGTTTAACCTCCACGTTTTCAGAGTATGAAATTCAAGCCCATAACTCGTTCCGAGCAGATGCGAATGGAGCGCGGCACCGTCTCGTTGGTCCACCGCTTCCTCCTTGACACCACCACCGTGTATCAAGAGTTAACGCACGATAACAAAGTCAAGATCATGAAAATCTTCCTCTACGAGTTTCTCTGCCTTCATCGAGCTTTTGTCTCAGCCAAAGCCTACAGGAAAGAAGCGCAGCCAAGGATAATATTGCATTACGGGTATTACTGGGACGTCGGCTCCGCCGAAATCTTCTTCGAGGGCTGTGAGCGGCTGGACGAGCATATGAAATTTATTGTGCCGATAATTGAAAGTCTGCTTGTCACGGTGAATAAGATGAAGGATCTGAATCTAACCGAGACGGAGTTGATGATGATGGCGATGCTGATGTTCTACAACAACCTACATAACCTGCAAATGGACACGCCGGAGGCGCAGAAAGTTGTAGACGATATTCACACCGAATTCATGTATTATATCTCGTCGCATTACGGGATTACGAGTCTCGGGCCGAGGCTGGGATGTCTTCAAAGGTTTATGCATCATATTGTGGTAAGTTTCCTGCTGTTTTGCCTTTTATAATCAATATTTTGCAGAAGCAAGCTTCCGATTTCCGTGAATCAATGTTCTTGGCCAGGATCTTCTTCCCTGACGCCGGAACTGAGGTCTGGGAAAACTTGGACATCTACGACGACCTTTCCAAGCCTTTACAAGAATTCAGATATCGAGGTGGAAGTAGCAGCACTTGAAAGCCCGGATTTCAAGTTGTCTTCTAATAAATTCGTTTTTTCTATTATTCTAATACTATTTATATATAAAGAAGATACGATAAAAAAAATGTATGCAATAAACCGTTTTCTTGAAAAGAGTTTCGCTAAAAACAAAGGTTAAGTTAAGTTTGTGTTACTAATCTGAGAAGTGCTCTTTTCACCAGCAAATTAATGAAACTTCTGCGTAGTCTCTAGTTCAATCCCTTCAGATTGCCCTCTTCTACTGCGCGCATTAATTGGTCGACATGCGTTTAACAAATTTAATACAAGCAGTCTTTAACGCTTTCAAAAGTTGCTAGTTTTGATTCTTTAAACTATGACGCAATCTCTAACTGTAAGCAGCCTCCTTTCAGTCCGCGATTTCAGAGAGCCGAAAAGGAAGTTGAAATACAGGGACGATCTTCCTTCAGGGCAATATTTAGAGCCTACCGAAGTGGCTACGGACTCCCCTTAGGCTGACTAGTGGCATGTCAAACTACCACCACAATCCACAGGATACCAAAAAAATTTATTTGTTATTTATAGGTTTTGCTGTACGGGAAAATTTCTTTGATTGTCACCCGCCCGCAAGATTTTAGAGTGTTTAACCGTTTGCAAATCATAGTATGTAGTCTAAACTGGGTTGTGTAGCCTAATAGCGACACCCCCCCCCCCTTGCCCCCAAAAAAACCTCTCGTTTAGATAGCGCATAGTCGCTCGCACACTCCTTCCCTGTTTTCGATTAAAATTCCTCTTTTCCTCTGATAGTGAAATTAGTTGTTTCAGCATGAAACGCGGGCTCAACATAACTTATACTTGCTCAGTCTGCGGTCAAAAGCACAAAGGAAAGCACTTTGGAGTGCAGGCTTGTCGCGCATGCGCCTCGTTTTATCGCCGGTCGTTGGTCGAAGGGAAGGTGTACAAATGCCGAGGAACAGGGAATTGTCAATTGTCAAAAGAGCTGCGGAATGATTGCCGAGCCTGTCGGTTGGAGCGCTGTAAGCGCATCGGAATGACGGAGAGTCGGATCCGCTATCTCGAGTATGATGAGGAACGGCCGGAATGTTCGAAAGAGCATTCGAAAACAACTGGAGCTGCAAAGCCAACAACTGATCTGATCAAGCAGTATCTTAATGTACGTTTTAAATTTCAGTTTAACTTTGGGACAGGAGAATGATGATTTTTTGAAACAATAATGCATATTTCAGCCGGCAAATTGTCCCACCAATGAACTCGAAAAGTTCGTTGCGCATTATCGAAACTTTTGTAACGCAGAGAGGTCAATGTATATCACTGAGAATCCAGAGGACTTGTTCAGCACCTTTGAGGTAAGGGCTTTGACATCTTTGTTTTTGTTGTTTAGACAAACCGTTAAGAAAGCAACTAGGCATGTCCAAAGAAGCTGCGCATTTGTCTGGAATTTATAAAGGGAATTGCTACATAAGTATGCGACGCTTATGTATTGATTAACCTTTGCGCAAATAGTGATTGAGCAATGCGACTGACACGCCAATTTGAGGGCTTGACTCCTCTAGTAAAAGATGACTTTTATTATGCTCCAAAAATCAGTCGTCATTCAGAAAGGAACTTATACACAGTTACAGGCAAACTGCTTATTGACAGGACGCTTTCTTCGTTATGGGTATTCTCTGGCAGTGATTGGATAGCATGGGTTGGTAAAGCGAAAACTGGTCCTTATAGAGACTCCATAAACCGCGCATTCAGAATTTGAGGAACGCCTAACAATAATCGCCACGCCATAAATAAACAGAACATTAAATGTCTTCCTTTAACACCAAATTTAAATTTAGTAAAAGTTTGTAAATTTTAGACCGTAAAATTCAAGCCAATAACTCGCTCCGAGCAGATCCGAATGGAACGTGGTACCGTCCCACTTGTGCATCGGCTTCTCCTAGACACCGCTCCAATATATCGCGAGTTATCGCATGACAACAAAGTAAAGCTCATGAAAATCTTCCTCTACGAATTCATTTGTCTCCATCGAGCTTTTGTCTCTGCCAGAGTTTACCGAGAAGACAAGCCAAGGGTCATTTTAAACTATGGATATTATTGGGATGTGGAATCGGCGCTTGGTTTCTTTGAGGGCTCAAAAAAGCCGGAGGAGAATGCAAAGTTTATGATTCCGATTATTGAGAGTTTTCTGGTTACGGTGAGAAAAATGAGAGAAGTTAATTTGACCGAACCGGAGCTCATGAAGACTGTTGTGTTGAATTTCTATAACATCCGTAAGTTCATCAAGCAAGTTGGCACATAGTAATAATATTTGTCAATTTTAGTTCATGACCTCGGTCTGGACACTCCGGAAACCCGAAAGGCTGCGGACGATATTCATACCGAATTTTTGTTTTACCTCGCTTCACAGTATGGAGTCCCCAATATTGGGCCTCGGATAGGATACTTTCAGCGCCTCATGCAGCATATTGTCGTAAGTTTGGTGTAAAAATAAGGCGCAGAAATCATAATGAACACACTTTAATGCGGATTGTTTCAGAAACAAGCATCCGAGTTCCGAGAATCTATGGTAATTGCGAGAATATTCTTCCCCGATGCCGGTACTGAAGTCTGGGACAACCTCGACATACACGACGGCCTTTATCGGCCGTAAGGGTAATTGAATATTATTTATTGAATACTTTATAATAATTACGAATAAATGGCTATCTCATTCGTTCAAAGTCGGAATTTTGAGAGATAATTAGATTTATCAGTCTTATGTTTGATATGGCGGCGATACTGATACAGCCTGCAACTCATTATAGTCTCTTTCAACTCATTTTAGTCCAACCTCACAAAAGCCTCATTTATAGCCTCTTGTGACCTGAAATTCACTTGGTTGACCCATAAAACTTCTGAAACACATACTATAGATGCCGTTTTATAAAAACTCAAAATGCCGGGTCTCCTGTAGAGGTTAAAATTAAGATAGTTTGAGGGCTAATTGGATAGTACATAAAAACATGGATCCCTTTTCCTATTATCTGTAATATGCACATTTGCTCACTGGTCCTTAGCAGCAGCTTGCAGATTCTCCTTAACTTTTTTCCGCTTTCATCAAGACATGATGGCCTTTTTTACTACCCCTTCTTCTCCAAGCTTGCTAAACGACCGATTAGATTTTTCCTCCGACAATAAATCTCAAACTACACACCAATCCATTACTCCCACCGTAGACGATCACCGTGCACCCGATTAAGAGCATTGTTAAACCCGAATTCTTTGTAACTTTTGCGTTCGGCAGTAAATCACATGAACCGTCGATGAACAGGACACCTTCTCACGCCCATCGATGTGCGATCTTATTGGTTCACAGCGGCGTTTAAAGAGCATCCATTTGATGCACCTTGAACGTCGACGAAGGTTCAAAGAGCCTCCAACAGACATGACACAACCCACAGACATACCTTGCATTCACTATAAATACAAGTTGAATATCAAAAAACTGTTTGGTTACTAGCTCTTATCTGCTCTTAACTTAGACCAAAATATTTATTATTTATAGGAAAATTGGACCTTCCTTTAGTTCTGAAAACGATACTTATCACTTTTATTAAAAAATAAGCTGTCTCAAAGTCGCATGTTCAGTGTCCGATTATTGATACATGTTATTGACATGAGTGGAAGGCGTGGACTTGGGCGCACTCGTGGCGTCATCCACCCGCTCTCATGATGTTTCTAACAACTTGTGGCAACTCAAAATATGGTTGAGCTCGATTCCAAAAAGTTTCTTTTAATGTTGATAAAAGTAAATCTTTTTTTTTGAATTTGTGTCACATGCTCGTTTTCGTAAAAATTGTTGTATTAGTGCAATGTAGAGCTGTTATCTATGTAACTCAAATGGGCGATGACGCTGATAAGTCAGCCAGTGGAGAACAATTTTTGTATTTTTGAGGATAACGCGGATCTTTTTTTCGTTTTTCATTAGAAAAAACTTTTAAATTTTATAAAACTTGGCCCAAATCAAGAATTTTATTTATAACGACATACGTCAATTTTTTTATGACTTTCCGCTGAAACTACTGTTATTTTGCTACAGCCGGAACAAAGCAGATATTATATTTTCTAAATCGTTTTGTTTTTTTCTGTGGTGGCTACCAACCACCTTTGTTTTTGAGGGGTTCTATTTCATAGAAGCATGACCGCAATACGACTGAATACGTGCTATCTGTCAACTTTATCAGCTTCTGAAATTTTGGTAAAAGATTGGAGCCTTAAAGTTTTCTGCCAAGTTTCAAAATACTATCAGAAATTTCGTATTAGCGATGCGCCTTGCCCATCACTCAAAATACGAAATCATTTGTGTTTTGAGTGCCACAGGTGACATCAAAATGTATTTTCTGGTTTGTGAATTCACCAATCTTATCAACTATAACATTTATTTATCAACAAACCGGGTCTGATCAGACATTTAAGATTTTTTATTTTTCACCGATCCCAAATAATATATTATACCTTTTTTTAGTACTGATAGGGGAGGTTTTTACCCATCTCATGAAGCCGTGTCACCTACCGAAAAAAGAATCGTTTCTAGGATCGTGCAGAGAGCTCAACTTTAAAGACAAAAAATAATAGTCGTCTTTCAGACCATGGTTTTAAGGATATGTCTGGCAATATGCTTTATCATGATGCTGATCACTATCGCCGATGGAAAGAAGGTCCTAATATCACAGACAGCAATGGGAAAAAGCCATGTGTACTATAGTAACGCTTTGGTTGATAAACTGGCCGACCGTGGACATATTGTGGTAAGTATCAACTTAGGAATTCTAGCAAACCAATGTTTTTGCGATAGGCATCGTTAGATTTGGTCTATCTGACATTGCAAGTTTTTGAAGCGAGACTCCGGATATTGGTAAAAATTGACACAAATATAGGTTAATTATGTAACTATTTTATGTAACTTAACTATTTGAGGTTTCCAACTTGCGCTTCGCAGAAAGGAATGACGTTTTCTAAAACGTCAACATAAGAGTTGCCAGTTATGATCTACACCGATTTTTAACCTACCCTACACCATGTATTTTCAGGACAAACTTGTGTTGAATTGGAATCCGGAAGCTCGAATTAAGATCTCCAAAAAAGCCAGAAAAGTTATTCACGTTGACCATGAAAATACCCCGTACCTAAACGCAACGCATCTCATCAATCCCTTCAAGGTTGGGCCGGTCAACGCCTTCGATATTTTCACACAATGCCGAGTACTGTTCTGCGAAGAGCTCATGTCCAACACGGAATTGATTAATCAGCTTCGAGCGGAGGCGTATGACATAATATTATTGTCAGCATTCGATGGCTGTGGCATCAGTTTGGCTCATATTCTGGGGATTCCAAGTACTGCGTTGTATGTGGCCACTTCCAGTGCTGATTATGTGGCTGAGGGATTTGGAATTCCAGCGCCACCAAGCTATCTGAGCAGTAAGCAAAGCCATATATCAGAAACGTTAAAGGGGCTTTATGAATAGCATAGACCGAGACTGTGTAGTGAATTCTTTAACAGGAGCTTTTATTTATTGGAAATATAAGTTCTCAATTTAAGTTCAGCCCAGAAAACAGGTCAAAAATAATGTCATAACATATTGGACACCCCTCCCGATTTTACATGCTCTATGATTTACAATATCATTCTTTCAGACGTCTTTGTCCCCATTGCACCAGGCCGTCAACTAACCTTCGCCGAGCGCGTTAAAAGCTACTATCGCTGGCTCCAACGCGAGAGTGATTGGTACCGCGCATTGCGCAACGTTGAGCATCCCATTGTTAACAAGTACTATCCCGGAACCCCTACGTACACCGAACTGTTCAAAAAGCTCTCCTTTGTCTTTCTTAACATGCCGGAACTCCTGGACATTGGTCGCCCAATCTCCTCGAAAATCAAGTTTATTGGGGGAATTCAGATGGAAGATGAGTTGAAGAAGCCGGTTAAGGAACTGCCGGAGGTAAGTAGCAACGGTTCAAAAGCAAATTTTGTGTTTATTTTAGGAATACGAGAAGATTTTGTCGTCACGGCCAAAAGGAACCGTCATATTTTCCCTTGGCTCACAAATTATGATGGGCGTTGTGCCAGTGGAGATCAAGCAGGCTCTTTTAAAATCATTTGCCAAATTCCCGGAATACAGTTTCATCTGGAAACATGACCAACCAGAATCAGTTGGACTGAATAATTCTACAAATGTCTTCTTCAAGAAGTGGCTGCCTCAAAAGGAGCTGCTTGGTAAGTGGCAATTTTACTTTCCAATAATTTTTTATTAAATTGTAAAACTGTATTTATAAGTTTTCAAAGAATGACGTGTGATAGAATACTCTTTTCAGCTGACCGCCGAATTCGCTGTTTCATCACCCACATGGGGCTCAATTCGTACACCGAGCTCGCCTACGCCGGAGTTCCGACGATAATGCTTCCACTATTCGCTGATCAAGAGTTCAATGCGGGCGTTGCGGAACGCAAAGGCCTTGGAATTACAATTCATCGAACCAAAGTCACTGAAGACACTGTCACCGACGCTTTGAACAAAGTTTTGAATGATCCAAAATACGATGAGACCGCAAAAATGTATTCGCGAATGCTAAGAAATCAGCCCAACAAGCCGAGCGAAACTTTTGTTAAATACGTTGAATATGCGATGCAATATCCGATGATTCATGATGTGCTAAATCTACCTTCAACGGAGCTGGATTTCTGGGTGTTTAATTCGTATGATGTCATCGGATTTTTCGCTGTATGTGGACTAACTTTACTAGTGGTTTCTGCGGCAATTATCTGGAAGCTGATTGCCGTGATTGTGCCATATGTCCGAAGGGACAAGAGGAAAACGGAATAGAGCTAAGACAAGGCCATTCATTGCTGCAAAGTCGAAAAAGTTTGTTAGACATTGTACATATCTTTTCTAGGTACGCATATATATTCAGGGTGCATTATTATTGTAAGCAATAAACAATCCGGAAAAATCTCGGGGTTCATTTTTCGAATGATTTGGCAACTGCCCTAAGGGCGACTTTCAGAGTGTCTTTAAATTTTGCGCATATTTTGGACATAGGCCACATATTCTTCGCTGAAAATCTGAGCTCACTCTTTGAAGGGGTGGTCGAGATATTCAACGGTTTTCCTGGGCGAGAGCGTACGTGAGACGCGGAGAGCGGTAAGAGATAAAAACATTTTTTGGCCATAACTCCCATAGTATCGTTGACCCGAAAAGTCATAGCGCCTTTAAAATAGTCAAACTTCATTTTTATTTCCTTCAACAATGTAAAATCGGAGAGTTTTGTTCTGGATGTTCTGTCTGAACTTCTGAATGGCTTCTTGAACTTCGACGTCTTTAAAATGCCGAATCTCGATCCGGCCGGTTGCCAGGTTATTCAGGTCTCTCAATTGGCCTTCCATCTTGAAATTGCGTTTTACATGTCGTTTATTGCGGCGCAAATCATGGATAACACAAGATAGGAGGACGCAGACGAGAATTGCAATGACAAAAGCGGAGACTATGCTAAAAAAAGGTGTAAGTTGTATAACACAGGGGATTCGGATTTACTTATAAAAACTTTTATTTACTTATAGGTAAAAATATTTCCCAAAAATTCACTTATAAGTTAAAAAAAGGCGGAGCCTATTTTGATTTACTTATAAGAAATTATATTTACTTATAATTACCAATAAGGACTCCGAAAAGAAAACAGTTGAGCGCCAAAGACGCTTTTGGCTTTTTGAACGCATGGGCGAGACTTAGAAATTCTAAGTTTTTCGTAGCAGTACTGGTCAAAGAGGGTATTTAAACGTTGGATGGAACAAGGTAAGGTGTTTCTAGTGAGTTATTTTATTTTACAGGACTGTAAACAGTGGGTAGATGAAAAATCCGGAACATAAGAAACTTCCCGATTAGGAAACAAGTCAAAATGGAAGAGCAGACAGCCTGGGAAGATCTAGGAACAAGCATGATCAATCAAGAATTTGGATGGAGAACTCTTTCCTCGATTTTGGTAGGTGTTTTAAACTGCTTCCACATTTCAGAAGGCCAGAAACTTTTCAAGACATAGTTTTCTTACATTGTACTAGGTCCAGGTGAACCCACTATTTCAGATAATCACAAAATGTTCGTGGAGGAAGTAAATGGACAACGTGTACACAATGTCTGGAAAAAATGACTCTCGGATGCCTCAGGTATGTCGATAATATTCACCTAGACCTAGTACAACATAAAAAACTTGATGTCTCAAAATCTCATTGCCAAATTTCTGATCCTCAAACTAATTTTTGGGATGGGAAAGCAAAAAAAAAAATGAGTTCAAGGACAGCTCATAATAAACTATCTCCGACAATTTTATTTACTTTTTCTTTATCTTTGACTATTTTCAGTGCATCTAGCCGCAGAGTACCCATAGAAAATCCGCACAGAAGCAAGTTAGCCCCGTCAGGACACAGAAGATGCGCTAACCACATGTGTAACCGGTAATATATCAGAGTCAAGTTGTTTTTTACTTTGTTTGAATAAATTTTTATCTATCCTGCACTGTGCATAATTTTCTGTTACCTATAAGTATTTATAATTACCTATAAGTGAATTTCCCGGGCGCCGAAAATAAAAATTACCTATAAGTGATTTGAAAATCACTTATAAGAACTTTTATTTACTTATAAAAACTTGAAGTTTTTATAAGTAAATAAAAGTTTTTATAAGTGATTTTGAGTTCCCTGTGAATGGCCATGAACCTCAAAAGAAAATAAGAAAAATTTTTGAATAAAAATATTGGAAACCCTTGAAAGTACCCTTGACCACGCCTCGATCTAAAAAAATAAAAAATTCAGCTAGCCAAAAAAAATAACTTGAAATTTAAACTCGGGCGCAGCTCAGAAAGAACTTTTCTTTGCGCCCAAAATCAGTTGTGTTTTAAAAAAAGATGCTTGGAAAAAAGAGACCGCTAAACGTTAGAGAAATTGCGTCTCCCCAGCTGAAAGTGTCGTGAGGACTTTTGTAATTCAGTGAGTTTTTCGTTTCTGTTACAAACTCTCCACCTTGCAAGTGCTTCAGGAAGGGGGTGGCTGGATGTATACCTTCTTGGGCGTTTGCCACGATGGGCGAGGTTTTGTAACGGATGTTTACATCCAGATAGGCAAAATGTAACAAAAAATTCTATGAGATCTCCTACGTCGGGTAATTTCAAGAAGAAGACGGAATAAAGAAGATGCTTACAAAGTCACAACGAAAATCCTGATCTTCCTGAAGAGCGTTACAGCTGCGCGCGATTCTTCTTCTTCTATCACACGAAACCTCTTGCTTAACGAGTCCTTTCCGTCATCAGTAACTGGGAACGGATTAGCAGGGTAGATAAATGTTTTCTGAAAATAAAGTCATGTTTTTCTATTCATCAGAAAAAATATTCGCTTGAGAGATTAGAAATACCCAAAGTTTTTATCTTCTATCCAAATTTGAGATATGAACCTTCAATTTCGATTAAAATTGCCTCCGGAAAACTGTAGGCAAAAGAGAAATTTAGTCGAAAAAACGTTTACTTTGACGTCTTTTGTGATAGTCATCATTATTTTTACTTACATTTCGAAATGTATGCCAAAGGGTGCCGCTTGTGAGGTTTTGATTATCTGTCGTGAAAATTAGCTTGTAACTTCGTGAGCTTTTCAACTTTGTTTCAAACTTAAAAAGTGCCGCCTGGGGTATTCGAAGAACTAGTCCATCAATTGTCATTGCTAGGACCGAGCCGTGTATTGAAAATGTGGTGAGATTGGGTTGATGGTCGAACTTGTAGTAGTATGAAGTCTCATCTGAAAAGAGAAAAGTGGTAGTGTAAAAGTGTGAGTCTTCGATTTTCATAATTTTTTTGGGCCGGCCCCAGACGCAACCGTTTTTCGGGAAGTTAAAAGGACCACGGAGACTCTACGGGGGATGTTTGGAAATCAGCCAACATTTGCTTACAACAGGAAATTATAACGATGGCTTTGGCAGTTGATGTTGCGAATTAAGTTTACGAGTGTATAAATGGCTTGAATAGTTTCCATAAGGTTAACCAAGCATTTTTAAAGGTGCAGAAACTGTTTTTTGAAAACAAACTCCCAAAACTTTGAAAGCGGCGGATGAATTCGACAGATTCCCGAATTTTGTTTACTTATCTGTATCGGGTAGTTACTAATGAAAAATTTCTATCATACTACGTAGATTACGATAGAAAAGTCGTAATCAGAGATTGCCACGGCTCCGGAGCCGGCTCTTGGCTCCGGCTCTGAGCGGCTCCGGCTCCGAGCCGAGAGCCAGAGCCGGAGCCGGAAATTTTGGGGTAGGCTCCGGCTCCCGAGCTCAAAGTCGGAGCCAGGCTTCCCAGCGGTCAGAAAAGTAAAAATTTCGCGATCTTGTTAAACCAAATTGTTTTAAAAAACACTGCGGAGGATGTGACTTGACTGCAAAAACGTTGGCTCTATGATTTCTGGCACTAATAACTTTTATTTTTGGAAAAATAATTTTAAAACACATTTTGCATAGGAGCCGAGATTCGGAGCCGGAGGCTTTTCTAAATTTTGCACGGAGCCAAGAGCCGGAGCCGGAGCTGCAAATTTGGCTTCGGCTCCGGCTCTGGGAGCTAAGAGCCGGAGCCGGAGCCAACATTTTGACCGTGGCAATCTCTGGTCGTAATTCTAATCGACTAATGTTGGTTGCCCGCAAAGTGGTTACTCGCAAGTCGCGACGCCTTTTTCGGCGGTATTTTTTAGAGATAGCACGTGAAGTGAAAAGACGGCTGGACGGAAAACTATTTCTTACTACAGTAGAGGACCTGATCCATTGGCAAAAGACGTACCATTTTGCATCCGGGAAGTATCAAAAATGTGGCAAAATGCTTCCCTCTCCAAGTGAAAAAACTTCGTTTTGAAGGGCGCGCCTTCCCCTCATAAAAAGAGCGGGCGCGCTTTTGAAATCGGAGTTTTTTCACTTGGAGAGGGAGGTATTTTGCCACATTTTTGATACTTCCCGGATGCAAAATGGTACGTCTTTGGCCAATGAATCAGGTCCCCCACTCTAATTTTGAGCCTTAAAATCTCTGTTTTAGAAACATCTATTCAAGAAGGACTGCTTACGTAAATTTCCAAACGTATAAACTCGATATGCCTCCTCATTTTCCCGTATAACACACGCGGCAATCCGTATTTTCGGCTTCTCTTTGCTGTACAACCCAACACAATGATGACTCTCCGTGTCGTTGGGATCCTGATTCCTCAATCCAGTTGATATTTCGTACCTTATCCCATAATTGAATGAGAATTCAAAGTCATATTCGTGGAATTTGGTGGTCTCATTCCAAACACTCTCGATTTCAGCGATGGGAATGCCGGTTGTATTGAATAGCTCAGTTGTATCGGTATGATCATATGATCTGAGGATCATTGATGATGAAAAAAGAAGAATAATGAAGAATAATCGAGGCATATCAGCCGATTTTTGAGTGAGAAAATAAAAAAATGAAGGGAAATTCCAATTTTGTCAAAAATCATGGAAAAAGCGCTTTTTCTAAATTTCAACTAACTTTCTAGACCTTCTAAATTAAAAATCATTTACCAACAATCAATAAAAACAGGAGTTTCAACAATAAACAAGCAACAAAAAAATGAAAAATAAAAAATTTCATGGATAACATGACATATCCCACAAAATTCGAAAAAATCAATCGCAAATCAAATCCCTTGTGGCTTCAAGAGGTTTCAGGCCAAATTTAGGATTCAAAGCAGCGTTGTCGGTCTTCAGTTTGTTCAAGATGGCCTCGGCGACATCTTCACCAACGATTTTTACGCGCTGTTCTGGTCGATTTCCATGAATGAATTTGGATCGGTCAGCAACACGGATATACCAGTGATGATGAATTGCTTTTAATTCCCAGAGAGAGGATTCGGAGGCTTTGGATTCGGTGATTGGGGCTTCTGGGTCATATGGATCTGATGCTAGGGTAGCTGAAAATTGGAAATTTAGACCAAAGTTGACGACAAAATAAGGTAATAGCGGTTGTAACAATACCGACAGACGTCAAAATACCTCTGTATCAACCCTATATTCGTTTAGACAGCCATATTTTACCTAAAAACTCAAAAATCAAATGAATTCACCACCAAAATCCTACCTGGTTCGCTTCTGTTAGCTAGAAGATCAAATATCGCAGGATGTGTGTGGCAAATGTTCTTCAAAACGTTGAGAATCATCAACTGTTGTTGTACGGGGGCAATCAGCAAAAGCCGGGCCAACTTTTTAGCGAACGCAGCTAATGTATATTGAGGTAGGTAAGGTGAGCTCAAAGAACTGCCAACCAGCTCAAGAAGCTTCTGTGATTGGTTTGAAAACACTGTAGTCGGCCTCAGAAGCTTGTAAACTTCTTCATACAGATTGTCGACGGCGCTGGAAAGGAGAATTAAAAATTATGTTATACTAGATGAGGAAGGAAAATACTTTATCATTTGCAAGTGAGAGCAGCACAACCAGAGCCTTCCTAAAGATCCAAGGCAACTATTAAGGCACAAAACTTACAAGTTCTTCTCCAACACCAAGAACAACAAGCCTCTGAAGGCAGGAATCGAAGCCAGACCTCCGGATTTCAAAGCTTTCAGCAATAAATCGGCAAAAAGCTCCGGCTTCTCTAATTGTCTGATTTCATTGTCCACGAAGTTGTCTACGAATTTGTGAAATGAAGAAGTTCCTTCCTAAAAACAACAATAAAAACTAAAGGAGATCTTACCAATGCTGTAAATTTCGTGAATATCTCGTCAAATTCTTGCTGCTTGCGATTTCCTTTCCGCACTGGGGTAGAGGACATTTTATGATGTTTTACAACAAGAAACAGTCAAGAAAATTGACAAAAAGAATAAAAATAACTGAAGGACGAAGTGTCACAAATGTATTGGGTAAAACGAAGTGTCACAAAATTATTCGGTTAGATTTCTAACTTCTGTTCAAGTGAAAACTAAATTTTTGCATTTTGTAGGATAAATTAGACGTCTAAAACAACTTCAAGAGTTGTTTTGCCTGTTTTACATAAGTTGGCCTCAATGCCAAAACGCTTTTTTCGTATAACACTCCCGCAGCCTGCGGAAAATTGGGCGCAGCTTGGGATTTGCGAAATTTTATTTTTTGCATGTTTTGTGGTCGAAATAAACTGGAAACTTGTGAATACTAGCTGTTCAGTCATTTATTCGTCAAGGAGTTAGTTAACTTTGACTTTTAAACGATCGTTTTTTCAAGAGAATCCTTAAATTTAACTTATTTTAGGCCAAATGCGAGGACTTCAAATCCTCCTTCGAACACCAGCGTTTCCTCGGTTTCTTCGGGCGTCAATCACTTCTTCAGGCCAAATACGATTAAAGTCAACTGATGGTAAGGATAAGGATGTTGGGAAAGACCTAAATATTGATGTAAACGAGTTGACAAAAAAGTTGGATGAAGCCTTAGAGAAGCCCATCAACGAACAGCCTGAATTTAACCCGAGAAAGGACTTTATGAGTTTCAAGCAGAAGAGAGAGGTATGTCAAAACTTTGACTATTGTTTTTCAATGTTTAGAGGAACTAATTATACGGAAACAAGCCGATTATATTACACTTGCTGTTTCAGGAGGCAGCTCACGAAAGAAGTTACATTTTTGGGTGGAAGTCGGCGGTATTTACCCTGGGATTGGCTGGAATTACCAGCGTGGTTCTGTTGTACCTCCGGAAGACTGTGAGTGCAATCTTGTCTTGCATATTCGTTAAAAAATTTATTCATCAAGTATAATATCCGAAAGATCAAAATTTACTGAAAATTCCGGATTTTTGACGAGGCTTAGTTACGTGAATTGCGGTTCTGAGTGCTGTTGCTCTTTTCCAAGAACCCATCAAGTAGTTTACGGCGATCTTTCAACTTGCTCCAGCTGAGGTTGGTCGAGGTGCTGGCGAAAGAAGAGTCGGATTTATGTGAGGAAACGGAACATTTAGAAGAGCTGAAATATGAATACTAAGACTTGATCGTTTAACAAGTTTTGAAAAAAAGGATTTTCGGCTTAGAAATTATATTACTTTAGTTGAACCTACCGGCTAGATGTTCGGCTACTCCTGGACTTTCTAGATTCACTCTTCTTGTTGTTTCTGGTCTTTACATTGTCCAGGGAGCATGTGGTGTTGGAATTTAATGAGGTTGCAGTGCTTTTGGAGCTGTTTTCCTTATGCTTGCAATCATATTGAATGTGGATCGAAGCATGTCCTTTTCGGCCAGATTTTCGGATGGATTCGATTTGAGCGTCGAGGTTAGAGAATGCCTCTTCTACCAGCTTCTCGATACGGCATTTTCCGTTGGTGCACATGATAGTCGACCGATTTTTCGGGGGTTTTTGACCAATTATGAGGTTTTTTGATGAAAATGAAAGAAAAATTGATGAAATTTGAGGTTGACACGGAATTTTTGTTTATTTTTGGGCATGGAATTTAATTTGCGACAAATTTTAGCCTATTGCTCGGATTTACTGATTGTATTTTTCAATTTTTTCACCTTTTTTTACCTTTTTCAGAGGCTTGATGAAGAGAAAAGGCAAAGAAAGCTGTTGGCTGGAAAAGCTAGGATTGGTGGTGAATGGGAATTGACGAATCAGGATGGGAAAAGAGAAGGGTCAAAGGAGCTTCTTGGCAATTGGGTTCTCATGTATTTTGGGTTCACCAATTGCCCCGATATTTGTCCGGACGAAATCGAAAAAATGGTGGATGTTGTGGATAAATTGGACAGCGAGAAAGATCCGGTGCCTGTGGTACCAGTGTTTATAACGTAAGCGATGTTTTGATTTTTATTTTTTTTCTGATTTTACAAGGGCTCGGCAAAACCTCGTCCCCTGGTTTCTTCTTGAAACATATACCATTTGAAAGAGCGCAAAAAACTGGTCTAGGATCACCTTCAATTAGCTGCTAAGATTCACTTACGTGCTAGCTAGCGAACTTTTTTTCAAAATTCCCAATTAGACTTTGGGAACCTTTTCTTCTGAGATGCCAACGAGATCGAATAATCACTTTTCATACAAATATTAGTCACCTATGACATTGGAGGCTTCAATCAAGATCAAAAAACATAAAGTTTTTTCCGAGCTTGAAACTCTCAGGTCGATGCCCTGAACGAGTGATTAGGCGATGTTTTAGGTCTTGTAACCCGAGACATACTAGGAGGTTTCAAATATGTATACCGTTTTCAGGCTCGTTTTTCACGTACTGTCCGTAAATGGGCATTCCTGGCAAAAAATATTAAAGCCGTTGAAAGTTTCAACCATCTTGGATGCCCACTGCAGGGTCAAAGACACCTATATCAAAAAAAATTTAAAAACCTGTCGATTTTTCTAGTAAAACTAATCTAGGGTACCCTAAAAATCAATTTAAAATTAAAGACTACATGCTAGCCTTCTTCATTCCATAACAGCCAAAAAAAATCCAAAAATTCAAAAGAGGAGTCGAACCTGGTCCGCAGGTCCTCCTTGTAGAGCGCCTTACCCCACTAGGCCACCGAAGCACTGCTCCGCTGTGCTTTTGAAATCGATCGCTTTTGTTTTCTTGAAAGAAGGGTGAGGCTGGCTTAGAACTAAAAAATGCTCGCTAGCTAGTGTGTAAGAGAATCTTAGCAGCTAATTATAGGTGATCCTAGACCAGTTTTTTGCGCTCTTTCAAATGGTATATGTTTTAAGAAGAAACCAGGGGACGAGGTTTTGCCGAGCCCTTGTTAGGGTAAGAAATTGGAATTTTTCCACAGATTTTGACAATCTTTGATGTCATAGATAATATGGCAAAAATGTTTGCTAAATTTTTGGTTTTGAGGTAGCAGGTGTCTGCAAGACCCTATTTTTAGCTTATTTTTTGGATTTATGTGTCATAAGATGTCTAGTGTAATATAATTTTTGCCAATTTACAGTGTAGATCCGGCCCGTGACACTGTGGACCGAGTAAAGAAGTATTGCCAAGAATTCTCCCCAAAAATCCGAGGGTATACCGGAAGTAAAGAAGAAATTGAATCTGTCCTCAAGACTTTCCGAATCTATCATTCACAAGGTCCCGCCGACAAGAAAGTTCCCGATGATTATATTGTAGATCACACTGTCATGATGTACCTGATTGATCCAGAAGGAAACTTCTTCGATTACTATGGACAGAACAGGAGGGCTTCGGAAATTGCAAATGTCATCAAATCAAAAGTGCTACAGTATGAAAGGAAGAAGAAAGTCAGCTGGCTTGGATAGGAAATTTAGGCGAATTTGATGTGATCTGCCAGGAAATTAATGTTTCTTGATGATGGAACTTATTAGGACTTGATTTTCTTTGTTCTTGTTATTTCTTTCTTCAGTTTTTAATATTATTCCTAATAAAATGAAAAATTTATTTGATATTGCTGATGATTTCGTTGAAAAACGATTTTATATCGAAGATTATTTCACAATCTGTGATTGTAAATGTATTTTAGGGTATAAATCCAGAGTAGAAAGATGTCCGCACCTCCTCAAAGATCTCAACCCCCACCAAATCAAGCCCCAAAAACGGTAAACGAATTCAAAGTTGTGATCCCAGAGTAAGTTCCTTTCTTTTTTTTGTGTGAATTTAGGATCGAATGGAGAAAAAAAGATGAGTGTTGATGCTGCGAGCTTATTTTTTGGTTGTTTTAGGAGCAAAGATGCCGTTCGATATTCGATTCTCCAATTCAATGGCCCGTTGAATATTGATCCGGCGAGGTGGACCAGCTGCGAGCTGAAAATGTTCCGAGAAGATAATAGAGCACATGTAAGTGGAGGTTGTAAGATAAAATATTAGCATTACAGTTGGGGGCCTTGTCCAGTGGCAAAAAACGTACCATTTTGCATCCGGGAAGCATCAAAAATGTGGAAAAATGCTTTCCTCTCCAAGTGAAAAAACTTTGCGCTTTTGAAATCGGAGTCTTTCACTTGGAGAGGGAAGCATTTTGCCACATTTTTTGAATCTTCCTGGATGAAAAATAGTTAATTTTTTTGCCACTGGATCAGGTCCCCCGCTGTACCTCGAATTGTTCAAAATTTTGACGTTTTTTTAGTCAAAAATGATGATTTTGTTCGAATTTGTACATGGAAATCCTGAGAAATTTTAGTTTATTTTTTTAAAAGTTTAAGCAAGTTTCATCAGAAGTTTTCTCTTCTGATTTTTATGTCTAACAAGATGGACGTATTTCACCAAAATAAATCTGATTTTTCTTTGGTTTAGGCTGTTGGGACCTCGGCGATTGTCCAAGACTACGGCGAAGGCTCGGAATACGGTCGGGCAGCCCGAGAAGAAGCCCGAAGAAAGAAGTATGGCCGACAGTCCAAGAAATATCAACATGATCGACAACCATGGAAGATGCTGTTGAAGGATCCGAGTAAAGAACCGCAGGAACGACGATTCAGATCGGTGTGTGAAGGTGGAGCCGGTGAACATTCGGATTATTGGATTTTCTCGAAGGTAAGAGAATTTTCGGCGGTTTTAGAGAGGATTTTAGGAGGGGGATCACTTTGGAGGCATTTGGATACTTTTTGAGGGCTTTGGATGCTTTTTATTCTTTTTGATTTTTTTTTGTTATATGGAGTATTTTTGGGTCGTTTTGAGTGGACTTTCGGATTTCTGAGTACTTTTGGAAACTTTTGGATACTTTTTGATCCCTTTTGACACTTTTTTGGAAAAAATTTGTTTTTTTGATGTCTAAAATAAATTTTTTCAGCGCGGTGACTCATTCGAAGCCCATAAAGTCGATGATTGGTACCGTTTCATGCCCACCGCTCGCCACAAAACACTTGATATTGACCAAGCAGAGGAGCAATTCCAGCTCCGTAATAAAGTTCTTAATCAGTTTGCCCTGAAAGCCAAAATCCAACAGACCCTCAAAGATGCTGATGAAGACAACGGCATGGTCTCAAAACCCGGTGGATTGGTAAGAATTTGATTTTTTTTTTTTTTTTTTGATTTTTGATGATTTCGAAAATTCTTTCAGAAAATCAAAGATGCCGGATCAGACTCGGATGATGAGGGTGGCGCAGACAAGGACGAAAGCCAGGGAATTCTTGATGCTAGCGCTGAAGTTTCCAAAAATGGGAAGAAAAAGAAGGGAGGCAAGGGAAAGAAAGACAAGAGAGTTCGAGTCGAGAATTCGGATGAAGTTGCTCGATACGAGTCGGAAGATGGGGAAGATGAAGGCCGAGAATACGACTACATGAGCGACTCTGGATCGGATACAAGGTTGGTGAACGATTTTGTGGGATTTTTGGGTTGGAACATGTAATAAAGAAATTTGGGATATTACCCATGAGGTTTGAAGGAAGGTTGAAAAAGTGGGTGGTTTATAGCAGTTTTTGGCATGATAATTAAGTCTGTTGATCGATTATGGTCTCGCGGAGGCTGAGAATTTGTGCTTAGGGGTTTAGAAGTGATGTAGATGTTTTTTATGTTATACATGACATCTGATGGGACCTGGAAAAAGTAGGTATAAACAAAGTTTTTTTTAAAGTGATGTGCTTTTGAAGTGGTGGTATTTGATGAACTTTTTTGGAAACATTGATTTTGCTTGGAATTTATGGCTGTTTTTGGTTGTTTCGTCATTTTCGATGTTACCCATGGGATTTTTGACCAAAAAAGTTTTAAAAGTTTTTGTTTTGGATAATTCTTGAAGTTTTTTGGGATTTGTAACAAGATTTTCTCCTAAAGTAATTTGGCACGAATAGAAATTAAATTTGCTTTATTTTCATGCGTTGATTTACTCGTAATTATGATACAAACAGTGCACCAATAAAATGTAATAGATCCTGCAGAATTTCGTTCTATTTTTGGAGCAGTTGAAGATGAGTGGAGTGAATTAGAGTGGTTATAAGATAATTTAAATAGGAGTTAATTTAAAGGGATTAAAGTGCCACACAAGAAAGCTTAAGTTAGAGATAAATAGATGCCTCAATTTGACGCAATTTTACCGCAAACTAAACAGAAATCACAGAAAATACAATCAAAGGAAGTCATTTACAAGAAAAGCTTTTGAATAAGTGAGAGAAGTGAAGAAAACGATAAATTAATGTCCAGCAATTCCATGCGTAATGGGCTCGGGGTTAATATTGTGCAACTTGTCAAAGGTCGACCTCAGCGGCAACGACAGCAGCTTCTGCATTATGAGCAAAGCCGAACGCGATCTGAAAATGCGAAAAATGCAAAAAAATCCAGTGAAAACGTCAAAAAATACAATGAGGGACCTGATCCAGCGGCAAAAAACGTACCATTTTGCATCCGGGAAACATCAAAAATGTGGCAAAAGGCTTCCCTCTCCAAGTGAAAAAACTTCGTTTTGAATCGGAGTTTTTTTCACTTGAAGAGGGAAGCATTTTGCCACATTTTTGATACTTCCCGGATGCAAAATGGTACGTTTTTTTGCCACTCGATCAGTTACCCATCTGTAGTTATGAAAGGAAGGTTAGAAGGCAGGAAAGGAAAGAAATCGGTGGAAATTGTAAGCATTGCCGTTATATACAGGCTGTAGCTGAGTTATGTTATAGATTGAAGCGAGTTTTTTGTTCGAACTTTATCGAATCTTTGAAAATTTTTTGAATTGAAAAGTTTGAGGACTCGAGAACACTGTTGAAATGTTTATTCTAGTCGATGATTTCATAGAATTGAAAGTTTAGAGACAAGTGAATGTATCAGTTTTTTGAGCGATGAGAGCCTATGAAGGACCTGGTGGATGCTAGAAACGGGCGGGTAATTTGGAAGAGTGGCGTCTAAAGAGGAAAATTTAGGAGTTAAAGGGATGTGTAAGGTCTTAAGTGGTCTAATGCAAGGTGAAAATAAAACATTTGGTGTGGTAGTGATAACTAATGATGTAGTTAGGCCTTAGCGAGCTAAAATCTCGCGTATACCCCATCTGAGTAAAATAAGATACAGTGGGGGACCTGATCCAGTGGCAAAAAACGTACCATTTTGCGTCCGGGAAGCATCAAAAATGTAGCAAAATACCTCACTCTCCAAGTGAAAAAAATTTTGATTTCAAACACGCGCCCTTCAAAACGAAGTTTTTTTCACTTGGACGGGGATACATTTTGCTACTTTTCTGATACTTCCCGGATGCAAAATGGTACGTTTTTTGCCACTGGATCAGGTCCCCCACTGGACGAAGTGTAAATACGATGATTTTCGTGGTTTGTTATAGCCTAAGGAAGCATTACAGAGGGTTACGCCATTCGGTTATCTCGTTTACTTATCGAATATTATGCAAGTTCAGCTAATGGTCCTAGTTTAAGGTCATAAATAACATTTGGTTCTAAATTTCTCTAGGATGGTTAGTAAAGCCATGTTCAAGGTCCGCAGCCCTTTATTCGGTTAGTATCCCTAGTAGAATCGGGTTATATTCCTCACTCTTTGTCCCGCAAATTGGTGCGATCGGAGAGATGCGACGAGTCGCCAATACAGTGGGGTTTGAACAAGTATTTATCGCTGAGAACCATCCAATCTCTGGCCACTTTGTCCACCTCCTCCTCGTTCTCTCGGTTGTCAGTGGGGTTGTCGTTGTGCTCGTGGACGCGATATTTGGAGATGGTGCATTGGCCAACGTAAGAGTATTTACCCGACAAGGCTACGTGGCAAGCGCCGATAGGAGATCCGTGAGAGACAATCAGAATGTTTCCTGGAAAATTTCAGTTATATTTTATGTTTTTTGGGACGAGTGAATCTAGTTATTTATAACACCGGTTGCGGTCTGGTTTAGTCGATATTTTGACAAACGGGTTTCCGAAAATTCGACCCATGTGTTTATTCATATCCACTTACCGCTGTAGTTACTCAGAACGTGCTCCAAAGTTTGGGATATACGTTTCTGGCAGCACATGGAGGTGGTTTCGACGTAGTGTTTTGTGTGGAAAGGCTTGTAGGTGAGGTCAATACGGGGGAATTGAGCTCTGCAAAGATTAAAGGATAAAATCGGCTGGGGATGATGTCCTAGTATTTTGACATCCGATCTGATACAGTGAGGGACCTGATTCAGTGGCAAAAGCGTACCATTTTGCATCCAGGAAGCATAAAAAATGCGGTAAAATACCTCCCTCTACAAGTGAAAAAACTCAGATTTCAAAAGCGAGCCCGCTGTTTTTGTGAGGAAAAGGGCGCGCCCTTCAAAACGAAGTTTTTTCACTTGGAGAGGGAGGTATTTTGCCACATTTTTGATACTTCCCGGATGCAAAATGGTAGGTTTTTTGCCACTGGATCAGGTCCCCCACTGTATAGTAATAACACGCTTACTTGAGCTCCTCAGGACTCAAATGGCCGGGAGTAGCTTGACAAACATGAAGTGATTCTGAGAACCCGGGCTCCAGATTCATCTTTGGGACTCCGGTGTTCCTGTAGATCTCTGGATTCGCTCTCTCGATCTCCTCTAGAATCCCATTTGCGGTCTGAACTGTCCGGGTGAAAGGGGAAACAAAAACATGATCAATTCGCTCATGCTGCTTCGCTAATTGAGCTCCGACTTCTCTGGCTTGTTGATGGCCTCGAGCACTGAAAATTCCGACGATTAGAGGTGGCTAGGATTTTGGGAAGTGTGTGAAGTCTTGTGAGTGAGGAAACGAAAAAATAAGAAGAGAACGAACTTGTTGCGCATCGAACAACATTCACCATCAGTTGCTCACCAATGTTCCTCGGGATCTAAGGGTATCCTAGCTTGGAAAAAGAGAGGATTCAACTTACCTGAGAGTGGGATCGTCCCACGCCCCTCGGGGCGGATTCTGCCGCCAGCTGGGGTCAATGTTGTCCACGCGTTCGCCATGCCGCACAATCCAAATCGATCGAAGTCCACCGGTCATTGGAGTCAGTTTCGGAATGAATGAGCTAATTTCGGCCGCACGAACCGAGTGATAAGGCCTGAAAGGAGCGATAAAAATCATGAAAACGCAAGCGCCGCGAGTCATCACGTGCTGGGGATTTTTCGTCTCCAATAACGAGTGCAAAGAACACGTAAAAGTGAATCCTTTTATACCCCCTTGTACAAGAACCGAAGAGAAATTACGCCATCAATTGATAAAAAAACGAAGAAATTGGATTTATAAATTAAAAAAACAAGGGCTGGAGTACTCAAACCTGCAAAAGTACGCTGTGTAAAGTGGCTGCGATTTGGGGAATGGTGAGAAAAAAAATGCTAAGGAGATATGGGAATGATGTTTAGAGTGAATATTGACTGGTTTTAAATGCGTGGGACATTCTGAGTTCAAGTAAATAAACTCTGAATATATAGTGACTCAAAGATAACACAAATTGTAGATTACACTAGTCAAGTGTAATCAAAATTTTGGCCGGAAAGCTCTAATTTTGGCCCAGAATTTAAATGTAGGACGCTTTTTTAGACTAACAGCCAATTTTTGAATTTTGTTTCCCACAAAAAGACGTCGAAACACTTGATTAACCACGCACATGCAAGGGTATTTGTAGAGGAAATGACATGAGGAACTTCTAATTTCGCTTTATTGTTTAGGGAAGTAAAAAAACAAATTCTGTGAAAGTCAAAGGGGAGACTTGTCTGATTTGTTGAGTCTTAAATGGCAAATGAGGAAATGTCTCGCCATTTTGACCTTTGTTTTTAATTTTTTTTGTTGTAAAGAGCCATCCGGAAGCAACAGGAATTTTTAAAGTCCGAAAATTGGCGATACGAAACGGAGAAGGCCCAGAAATTACGTGAGGATCCTAAAAAGACAAGAAAATTTTATATTTTAATATTTTTTTAAAGTGTTTTCCGAGAAATTTCTGTAGGTCTCACGAAAAAGGATTTGAATTTTAGAGGATATGGTAGTTTAAAGAAGAATTAATGAAAACCTCAAAGAATGCGACGAAGTTCAGTCCAAGTACCCTAAAACAAATAAACCCGTGGATTATAAACTTAAGAGTTTAATAAATAAAGTAGAGTTGATTGCCCAAAGTCTCGCCTTAATTTAGACCAGACTGATAAGAAATCATCAAAAACATTGGTCTCTTATATGAGGCCATTAAATAAGTAATAACCCACTAAAAATAGCCCCAACCTTACGTGGTTCTCATTGTTTATATGCTTTGTGTTCATGTGATTATTTGTTCCCCGGATTTTAACGGAAACCTAAGTTCGAAGGCTTATCAAACGAAAAAAAGTATAGAAAACATTTGTTTTTTCAAGGACTAGGCAACTTTTTAATGACGTGGGAAGTTCAATTTTTTGTTAGCGGTAAGGTTTAGAGGGCGTAAATCGTTTTTCTGACCAAGAAGTACGTTTCGTGATCTGTGGGAGGTATGCAAAGCAAGTCGTATGGCCTACTCCACGTAAACAAGCGGATTTTAGAAAACACGTGTAAGAACTTGGGAAAACAAAAAAGGTTGAAAAATGGGAAGTTTTGTTTGTGGATTGGTTGAATGAGAATTTAGAAATGCTTTCAATAGGAGAATAAAGGGTTAAAAGACGTTGAAAGTTATATTGAATGGGTAAAATACTCGTTTAACTTTGAACAAAAGGAAGAGAAAACTAAATTTCTTTGGAAAATTCCAGTTGAATTTATTTTAGGAATGGCTGACAAAGAACGGATTTTGGCATTTCAAATTTATCTAAAAATAATACGAATTTTCCCGAAATATCACCATAAGTCAATAAAAATTAGTGTAAATTCAAAACTGAAAAGAAATTCCGTCTAAACCTGCCACAGAAAGGAAGTACAGTCCCTGCACGCACGCACAGTCAAAATGATGCAATGCGAAAAACAAAATTAGCCACGAATTGACGGAGGTTTTTTGTCTACTCGAAACTAGCGCCACCAGACGAAGGAGAGACGTCCACAGAGGCAGAGACTTGGACGAGGCATATCACCACCCCGAACACCCCGCCTGTCTGGCCAAAGGCACACGCAAAAGAGGGCCGTACGCGTACTTTGTGCGATTAAAAAGTGAACAAAACAGTTAGACGAAAACGCGGACGTGGATTTGTGAGAAAGGGCAATGGGATTAGGAAATGAGAATATCTAATCGGATCCGAAATGCATGGGATGCGGAATAGTAGATTGATTAGTACTGAAGATGGAGAAGTTTGATGGGGGGTTTCAAGCCAACTTTTTGTAAATAGGGCATTCATGAGAATTATGACTGAAAGGTAGTTAGACTGGATTATTGGGCAAAGTTTTTGAATTACGTTAAGAGTGGACTCATTTCACATAAAATTTATTGGGTTTTATGGAACACGAAGATACTTTGCCAAGTATTATTGGTTTTGAAATGGCCCCTAGTCCAAGGAAAATTTGAGAGAAAATCAGTTGGAGCCAAATATTTTTGCTCCAAAATGTTTTTATAAACGTCAAAACTTCTTGAAAAATTGCAAAATCTTTTTGAATTGGCTGATTTCGCACGGTCAAGCAATTTAGCCGCCCTAACAGTCTTTGAAATTTCCAAAACAATCCAAACGACCCTTGAAACGCTTGAACAAACCCCACAAAATCCTGAACGTCAAAAAAACGCAAAATGAATGTTGTGAACTACGCAAAAACGGGTTTCAAATAAAAAATGTCGCAGCTGACTTCGAATAATGGGGCAATTGAACTTTTTATGATCTCTGAAATATCGGATACCTTTATTTCCTCAAAGAAACCTAAAAAAAATATAGTGGAAAAAGGAAAAATAGTGGTTCGAGAGCGAAATTCTGAAAAAAAGGTCGAATTTTTTGGAAAACAAAAAATTTTTATGAATTTCCCGATTATCTGGTGAAAGTCACGCGTTCAAATGGGCAAAGATGCCATGAAAAAGAGTTTAAAGTTTCTCTTTAGACCCCCAGGTTACTACGGAATTTTCGAAATATTGCGTGTTACAACACCCTCCCCCCCCTTTTTATTACTCATTTTTTGTTTGATTTTGAAATTTTTAATTTTGTTGTAGTATCAAAAAGTAGCTGAAGATACTTTAAGATAATCGCGAAAATAAGGCAAATCCAGCCAAGATTTTACCTTCTCCATCACAAAAAAATGTGCAAGATTCAATTTTCCTCATTTTTGAGGAATTATTCTTCTAGACCACATTTTCAAACCAATCCTTTACGTATGCCCCTAAATGTTCCGGAAAGAACTATAAATCAGCACGTAAATACCAAGAAATAGCATTAATAACCAGAAGAAAGTAAAAAATAACCTTTAAAGTTGGCTTTTGGTTTGACGAAGATGATGAAAGTGGGGGCTTTCCGTTGATAAAGTAACAAAGATGGATGGGAAACCAAAAATTTTGCGAAGGAACCAGACGATCTCCGTGATTTATCTCCTTTCTCGAGCGGATTCTTGGACTGTAATGTGCGAGTTGTAATGAAAAGGTCAAGATGGGCGGGAATTAGGTCAAAAATCAAGAAAATGGTGATCCCTTGGCGTTTGAGGCAGTAGCCAAGATATTCAACGATCTTTTTGCGAAAATGACCGTACAGTGGCGGACCTGGTCAATGGCAAAAAAAGTCATGGCTGAAAAACTTTATTCATCTGTCCGACTCTTCATCATACAGTGACGGACCTGTTCCAGTGGCAAAAAATATACCATTTTGCATCCGGAAAGTATCAAAGAATGTAGCAAAATACCTCCCTCTCCAAGTGAAAAAACTCCGATTTCTTCAAATCACAGTTTTTTCACTTGGAGATGGAGGTATTTTGATACATTTTTTGATACTTCCCGGATGCAAAATGGTGTATTTTTTGCCTCTGGGTCAGGTCCGTCATTATAAGATGAGGAGAGTCGGACAGACGAATAAAGTTTTAGCCATGATTTTTTTTCAATTACGGTATATGTTTCTGAAAAAAAAACAAAAAAAAACTTACAGTCTCCTTCGTGAAAAAGCGTTTTTAGTCTGACTTGCTCTCTTCATTTTACGTGTTCTCTTGCGAAAAGATCGCTGAATGTCTCGGCTCCGGCTTCAACATTCTAAATGAAGCCGAATTTTTCGGTAATTCATATATAGCATGTTGGATTATTCACGGAAAAGCCACGCTTGGAGTCAACAAATCCATATCTTTTCTGTCAAATGAAAGATAATCCCCTTTGTTCTTGCATCGTGATGAATCGTAATTTTCATTAAAAAAAGTAATTTCGGCTATTTTTAGCCGCGAGGAGGAGAACTTGGATGAGAAGTTGGACAAGGAGATGGTGGCCGTCGGCGATGAGCATGGAATGCGCGATTCCTCCGAGGACGAAGACGAGGAAGAAGAAAGCGAGGAAAAGAAGGCGGCCAAGGAAAAATTGAGTGAGCTTTATTCAGATTTCTATGAAAATGTATTTTTATTATGCTTTTTATTGCACTTTCTTTGAGGTTTTTGAGTTTAATACAGTGACGGATCTGATCCAATCACAAAAAACGTACCATTTTAAATCTGGAAAGTATTGAAAAAATGTGGCAAAATGCCTCCCTCTTCAACTAAAAATACTTCATTTTGAAGGCCCTCTCCCTCACAAAAGGCGAGATCGGAAGCGTTTGAAATAGGGGTTTTTACTTGGAGAGTGTGGTATTTTGCCGCATTTTTTGATACTTCCCGGAAGCAGAATGGTACTTTTTTTACACTGGATCAGGTACGCCACTGTAGTACTTGAAACTTGAAATTTTCTTTTATTATGGTAAAGATGACGACATTTCTCCTCTTTTCAGTGAAGAAATTGAAGGAACAGAACGAAGAGAAGGACGCGGATCAGTCCATGAGGGTTGTAGACCAAGTGGAAGAAAGAGATTCGTCGGGCTCGGACTCGGACGATCCCGACAATCCAACGGTCAAGACTTCCGTCTTGTTCATGCAGGTAAAATACGTTTCGTTTTTGCGACGAGTTCACTAACTTTTTCATCAATTTATGAGATTTTTCAAAATTTTGTTGGTCTTTGAGATGTTTTCATATAAAATAGAGGTGATGTAAAACAGTAATTGTCTTTGATTTATAGAAAAAACGCAAAAGAGCATCTGATGAGACCGAAAAAACGAATGGAAGCGACGCCAAGAAGGCCAAAACTGAATCGTAAGTTGATTTTTGGCTCTGAATTTTTTTGCTGATGCATATAAGCTAATGAAAATGCTATGTTCAGCCGAGAAAACACACCATCAACCGCCCAAAATGAGCCCTCCGCACCAGCTCCACCACCAACAACAACATCAGCTCCCCCTCCTGCTGCCGCACCTCCAGTTGACCGACTGGACGAGGAAACTGTTAGACGCTTACTTCTCAGAAAACCTCACACTACGAAGGAACTACTCAACAAGATCCGACCCCATTGCGGAGATATGTCCAAGACGGATATTGTGGCCAGATTAGCTGATATTCTGCGGAAAATCGAACCTCATCAGTTCAGGCAAAGTGTAAACAGAAAGGAAGTGCTGTTCTTCTCACTTAAGCCGCCACAGTAATATTAAAACAGATTGATTTTTGCATGCAAGTTCATAATGATGATGGTATTTATTTTTGTGGTAGTGTGATGTAAGATTTTGGTATTTGAAGGCAAAGTAAGGCGGTCCTAGGCTGGAAATTACTAAAGAAGGGTAATTAAGGTATGATGAAGTTAGTTTTGGGATAAAAAGTGGGTTTAAGCTCCTGTTGATTGACTGAAATTACCTTATTTTACCTCGGGGACCCACTTTTAGATATGAAATATTTTTTTGGTGAAATAAATACGAGTAGATGAAAATTTGGAATTAATATGAATTTACTGTCGCGTACAGTGGGGGACCTGACCCAGTGGCAAAAAACGTGCCATTTTGCATCCGGGAAGTATCAAAAATGTGGCAAAACGCTTCCCTCTCCATGTGAAAAAAAACTTCGTTTTGAAGGACGCGCCCTTTTTCCTCACAGAAAGAACTAGCGCGGTTTTGAAATCTGTGTTTTTTTCACTTGGAGAGGGAAGCATTTTGCCACATTTTTTGATGCTTCCTGGATGCAAAATGGTATGTTTTTTGCTACTGGATCAGGTCCCCCACTGCACATTCGATTTTAGAGAAAATGTGAGATTTTTTGCATTGGTGTTTTAGTAAAATTAGCCAGCTTTGTTACGATGATTTATTATGGCATTATCAACAAGAGCGATCGTATTTTGCTAAAAAAACACCAAAAAAATTATTCACACCGTTTCCTTCAAATCTTCTCCTTGAATGCTCGCTACGGATACGGTAGTGTCGGTATTACTCAAAATTTCTTGGAAATCCTTCAGCCACCCATTGAACTGCCCCGTAGTCCGCTCATAAATCGTGTGTTGCCAAAGTTTCGCATCAGCTTTGGCCTTCTTTTTCGTGAAATATCGAAGAATTGCGGCGAGTGCCGAGAAAAAGAGACAAATAAGGATGAGAAACGAAATAATTCCAAACAGAAGAGCCCATTCCGTGTGAATCGGAGTCCAATTGGAGAAAAAAGACGCTGAAGTGTTAGGAAATGTAAAATAGGGGAATAAAAGTTCATAATTAATTTTAAAAAAATTGTTTTTTTTTTGGTTTTTGTCCCAAGTCAAGGGCAAGATGACATCAAAAAAAAATTATTTTTTGAGGACTTACTGTGATATTGCTCGTACAATTTTTGATCCACATCCTTGTAATCCACCGTAAATCCCTCTCCATGAAGCTCAGGGTTAACCGGGTTTGCCATGACGAAAAAATTGAAAAAATCAAAAAAAAATTTTTTTTGTTTCTTCATCAATTGATTTTCAACCAAAAAATTGAGTAATTCATTCTTCCCATTGATCGGTCATGTCGCAAACTATTGACGAGAGTGACATTATCGAAACTACAACCATTGCTGTTCATGAAGACACCACGCTGAAAGTGACCATCCATGACCGTAAGTTTACCTCAATTTATTCATAGTTTTCGTCATAATTGGGTTTATTTTGCCAGCCAAAAATTTTTAGTATACTCAAAATTTTCATTGATAACTGTTCCGGCAGATTTTTTAAAATTTTTTGGAAAAAAGTGAAAAAAATTTGGCCGCACAGTGCAGACGCCAAAATAAAGGCGTTTTTCGCACTGCACCGTGCAGATATTATAATATACAAATCAAAATTTTCATTGATTTTTGATTTGAAAATTTTAGACCTGGTCCGGCGGCAAAAGCGTATCATTTTGCATCCGGGAAAATATGAAAAATGTGGCAAAATGCCTCCCTCTCCAACTAAAGAAAACTCCGTTTTGAACTGCGCGCCTTTTCTCTCACAAAAAGAGTGGCGCGTTTTTGAAATCGGAGTTTTTTCACTTGGAGATGGAGGTATTTTGCTGCATTTTTTGATACTTCTCGGATCCAAAATGGTACGTTTTTTGTCAATAGACCACTGTACATATAATAGTAGACCAGATTAAGTCTCTAACTCATTTATTCAGCTTGTTGCGTCAGTTCCGGAACGGGGTATGCCCTTCTGTACGTATTCATTGTATTCGTCCTGTTTCTGATGTGTTTCTGGAGCTGCTGGCTCTACTGTGTTCGTCATTATGTCAAGAGGGATTGTCAGTTGAAGATTGAGAAGAGGAAAGAGCGGATTCTTCAACTGGAGGAGCGACGACGCCCGGATTTGGCGAGATGTAAGTAACTAGGTTGGAGTAGATGTGTTGGGTGTAAAGATGTGGCTAGAAGTTCTAGATAACTGCTGTATGGAGTTTTTAAAGGCGTAAAGTAAGATGAGAAGTGTTTCTTAACTTATTGCGTCAAAATTTACGAGTAATTTTATATTATCCATAATGACCTATACTTGGGCTTAAAATAAGACAGTAAATGCAATTTCTGGTCTAAACAACTGTCAAGTTTTGACTTATATATGTTTTTTTCTTGCCTGTGGGTTTATTGAGAACTTTTTTTTAAAAAAAATCAGTTCCTATTAATCACCAATGATGACTTATGCCTGAACCTAAAATATGATCATATGTTATGCTACTCCGGTAAAATTTGTCAAATTTTGATTTGTAATGTCTTTTACTGACCTATTCTTTTTTTCGAAGCGTTTTCTGTAACAATTTTTACGTTCTTTATATTATTTGTGATGACTTATACCTTGATTTATAAAATAAGTTCAAAACGTATACCCGCGCCTCACGAAGTCAAAGCTTTTGACTGATTCAGATTATAAATTCTTCGTTAGTTCATTTTCATACCATTTCAGACCCGAAAGTTCTTATTGCCTCCGGCAATTTATGAAAAATCACAAACTTCTTCAAAAATCCCGATTTTTTGATTTCATTCCTTCAATACTTTATTAAATATACTAGTTATAGACAAATCCACTTCGGATTTTTTTGCAACCCTATTGACTTCAATTTACTCGTGGAATTCGAATACTCCGCAGAGGACTTCGCCTCTTTCTGCCCGTTTAACCATCTCCTCGTAATACTTTTCCAGCCCTTCTTTGAACTTTTTCGATCCCTTTATGGTACTCAAATTTGTGATTCCATCGCAAAATCCACTCTTCTCCAGCGGTTTACGGCCGGCTTGCTCCATCTGAGAGTTGGCGGCCAGCTGAGCGAGATCAAAGTCGTATTCGAAGGAATTGGCGAGCGCTCCGGCTTCTTGGCCTTGCAGGATTTTGTTGGCAAAGTCTGAAAAAGAAAATGAGACGGATTTTTAAAGGGTTGTAATAGAAAATTTAGGGTGTGAAAAGAATTTGAGATAGTTCTAAGAATATTGTAGGCATTTTTAAAAAATAAAAAAAAAAATTAGGGTACCCCAAAAAAAGAAAAATTTTTAAAAATCCCAAAATTACATATAGGATTTTGTTTTGAAAATTTCAGGTTGTATTAGAAGTGAGATGATCAATGTTTCTATAAAAAATCATTGTTTTCATAGGAGAGCTCAAAAAGTTTTTGGCAAAAATTGCTTTTGTCTGGCTGACTCTCCTCATTTTTCATGATCTCTCGCAGAAAGGGTAGGCTAAAATTCTCGGAAGTGGATCTGTGAGATATTTAGAATCTGTACACAACCGTTGAAAGAAATCTGAGGGTGTCTAATTGTTATAGTCATCAAAATAATTTTTTTTTGCCATTAGTAAAATTCTCAGCTTAAAAAATCGATTTTCGGAAAAAATAAAGGTTAATTTGGGATGTTAGAGAGCTTGGAGATTGCCAGTTGTTCAACGGACTTATCAATCCGACATTTACATCAAAAAATATTAACTCACCCGGTTCAGCGCAAGCCGGTCTTCCCAATCCAACCCCATCAGTCCACTTGTCCTCAACAGCTCGGATCATATTCTCAGCTGTCCGGAATCCTCCAGTAAGATAGACAAGAGTGTTTGGCACTGAAGATTTGACCTGAAAATAATTTTTAAAACCAAAAAAAGCAAGTGTAATATAATTTTTTAAAATTTTTGCTCCAAAAATCGTCCTAATGGTTTAAATCAACTTTTCCTTACACTTTTGGCGACGTTGATTGTATAATCGAACTGCTGTTTGCCGGCGATATTCCTTTCGATGCCTGGAGGCATTTCAATGTAAGCCCCGGTGATTTCGATCAAATCGATTCCAATTTCTCCGAATTTGTGGCATGTTAGAATGGCCTCGTCGACGTTTTTTCCATCTTGAATGAATTCCATTAGATTCACTTTTAGAGCGACGAGGAATCCGGTGTCCGCGGGGTTGGAATTCCTGTAAAAATTGGAGATAGAAATTTTTTTATTTTTTATGGGATTTTATTTTTCATTTTTTTTTTTTAAATTTTGCATACGAACTGTAAATAGGCCATAAGTAAATTCTTGAAAAATTTTAGCATAAATTTTAATGAAGCCGACGAGATATTCAACGATTTTTGCGAGAGAGCACGTAAAATGAGGAGAGTCGGCCAGACAAATAACGTCTTTTGGCAATTTTTTTTTGAAATTTTGAAATCTAAACTCAAAAAATAGCATTTTCAAATTTTGATACGCTTAAAAATTTCATTTACATATTATACACCAAGTTGCATCAAAATATTAAAAAAAAAATTTTCCAATTTTTATGACTATTTTTGCAAACAAAAAAAGTCTGTGCTTCACCCACCTGACTGCCTGAATGACCTCCCTCAGGATGTTGAGCCGATCCCCGCCCACATTTCCGTATCGATCCGTCCGGTTATTGTATTGCGGAGAGAAGAATTGAGCGAAAATATCGCCATGGGCGGAGTTCAGCTCGATGCCGTCGAACCCGCTCTCTCGGCAGACCTTGGCCGCGAACTCGAATTTGTCCACAATTTCGGTTTTGATTTGGTCTTCGGTTAGTGCGACTGGAGTCCCGAAACGAACTCCATGATGGGCTTGAGTGATGCCGAAGTTGGAAGCGCTGTAAGGGGCGGGGTTTATCGCTGCCGGGGTTTTGTGGCCTGCCTAAAAAATGAGAATTTTGAGGGGGTTTTAGAGAGGGTTTTGGCACAATTTAGGTTAGTCAATTTCGAAAAATAATGTTTTTTATTCGTTTTTTTGTTCATTTTTTTTATTTTTTTATAATCTTAAAAATGCAAAATACGGGCCGGTGTCTCGACTAAAATTGCGAAGTAACAGCTAAAATTTTTATGGATTTGCCGCCTACCTACAGCGACGGACCTGATTTAATGGCAAAAAAAGCAACATTTTGCATCCGGGAAGCATCAAAAAATGTTGCAAAATAACTCCTTCTCCAAGCGCGACCGCTCTTTTTGTGAGGGAAAGGGCTCGCCCTTCAAAACGGAGTTGTTGTAGTTGGAGAGGGAGACGCTTTGCTGCATCTTTTGATACATCCCGGATGCAAAATAAAACGTTTTGAGCCCTTGGATTAGGTCCGTCACTGAAGGGTACGTGTGCAAAACTTAAAGAAATTTTGGACTGTGAAAATAGAGTACGCTTTTAAAAATTTGCAAAAATTTCAAGAAAAAAATCAGTAGAACGTTCAGAAACTTGTTTATAAATCTTCGAAAATGTTAATTTTTTTGTCGCTGTACCACTTACATGACTTAGTTGCGCCAAAGCTACCGTATCCCCATTCGATTTCATAGCGCGTGCCAACATTTTGAACTTCCTTGCCCTTTCTTCTGTCATGAATTCATTGTCCAGCCAGATATTTCCTCCACATTCCAAATGTCTCTAAAATTGGAAAAAAATAATTTTGGAAAAAATGTGATGACTTACATGATCGACTGGGATATTTCCCGTAACGACCAGGCCAAACCCTCCTTTGGACCATTTTTCATAGAGATTTAGGATCTTTTGAGTTGGTAGTCCTGAATATTCGAGATTTTTGGGGTCGTAAGAGGCTGTTCGTTCGGTGAGAGCTGCCTGGAAAGGAAAATTCGTATTTAAAATGGGTTTTAGGTAAAATTAGATGACTTTGCTCTCTAAAATGTACTTTTTACCAAAAAAGGGAGGGTTTTGAACTTTTTTGGCCCAATTTTCAACCACTTGGACTTTGCACATTAATTATAACAGTACTGTTTTCAGCACTTAAATTAACTTTTTCCCCTCAAAACCTTGATTTAAATAAAAATCACCTACTTTCAGTAGTCGGTTCGGGATTGGCTTCTTCGTACTGCCCGCATACAAAGTGTCTTTGAGGACGTGCAGGTTTTTGGGCCTCTTGGCCATATATCTGATCGACATTTCTGAAAAATGATCAAGTTTGTATTTTACAATTTTTTTCGAAAATTTTCGGCACGAATGAAAAATGATGACTATTTTAATGTTCGAAACGTCTTACTTGTATTTTACAATTCTTGAAATACAAATACATGTAAAAAAAGGAAAATAACAAAAGGTTTTATGTAAAAATTAGCGAAAATTGAATACTTCGACTGGTTTTGCTAATTGAAAACAGGAGCTTATTGAGGAAAAGAGCTCATTTTGCCGTATTTTATGGTTTTTCTTACTCTTTCTAATCGAAAAATAGCAAAAATAACAGAAAGATGGGCAAAAATTGATGATTTTTGGCCAAATATTTAATTTTCCTCATTTTTCATACTGGAAAATTTCATTTGATGGATTAAAAAGAAAGCAGAGACCGTAGTTTACTATTATTTTTATTTTCTTTTAATCAAAAATGGCGAAAAATGATTGAAAATTTAAAAAATCTCAAAAATTATGCGACAAATTTTTATTTTTGACCAAAAATATTTTTCAAAATGTCATCAACCCCTCGTTTTTGCAAAATTCACCTCAAACCTACTACAAGGCGTCTGGAAGTTCCCTCCAGTAAACGGAATAAACAATCTCCCTCCCGGTTTTACCAACCATATGATTCAATCGGTCCCTTCAAAGGAGGAACCCCCTGGAATACGTGCAAAACCCCAAAGAGTGAACAAGATTACCTCCGAAAATTTGTGCTTTACCGCTTTTGTTATTGGGCGATCACAATAGAAAGGGGGAGGGAAATCCAAAGTACGGCAAAACCTTTATGGAAAGGAGCTGATAAATAAATGGGTTTCGAGGCGATCTTTGGAGTTTACAATGTGATCAAAGTGGAGGAAGGTTGTTTATGACAGATTTTAGGGTCTTTGCAACAAAATTGAAAGGAAAATAGAGATGTTGGACATGCAGTTTGCCAATAGTTTGCATTTTTGGGTAATGGTCATGAATAATATAAATTGACGTGAGACAGAAAAATGGTTCGTTGTAGAATGATGATTCTATCAAATTTAGAGTTTGTAAGGTATGGAGGAGCCATCAAGAGATAAGTTGGGAGTCTATGAAGTGGTTATTTATTGTAGTAATCAGAACTTCTTGGACCCAAGGATAATAAAGCTAAAGCCAATTGGAAAGCAAGTCAATTCGGAGAAACAGGATTATCTGCTTACACTTATCGGATGTTTACTGCATAAGTAGCTAGCAATCTAGGAAGTACTTTGCAATAGAAATAGAAAAAAATTTGGAGTCATGGATAATATAAACTTAGTCCCGCAACTTGAAGAACAGGAATTCTGATGGGCTAAAAAGTGTTCGTATTGAAGTCATATGATATTTACTTTATTACGGAAGCTCTTATTGGAATCTAGAACATTTCTGTCATGAAATACGACGATTACTTGTATAAAGTCATCATGGATAATATAACCTAAAATCGGAAATGACTATGGCTTAAAAAGTTTTCAAAATGTTTAACTAGGCCAACTAGGACGCAAAATATGCTAAATCAGAGAATTATAACATCTACACTTTAAATTTTATAAAGGAATATTGGTATTGCCTTATGGTCCATTACAATATAAATTAACATCAAAATTCCCTCGAAAATACAAGAAGAACGCCACTTTTGTTGATCGCCCGCTAGACGCAGAGCAATTGCTTTTTCTTATCAGAAAACAAAAACGGGAAAGGAGAAGTGTGGTGGGCAGAGGCCGAGGTCGCGGATGGACCGCGCTGTCCTCGAATGGAGATCATGTGAATGACCGGATTGTGTAATAAAGGATTGAGAGATATTGTAAGAAATCCCATAAAGTATAAGAAAGCTACTGCATTTATTTACAATACTTTAATATGTATTATTTTTTGGCCAAGACTGCCTTATGGGGAAAATGCTTTTTTCGGCGGCCTTTTTTGAAGGACTTTTGGCAGTAGTAAGAAAGTATTTATATTTTGTATCAATTTCCCAGCAGCAGAATAAGTCTGATGACAAAATTCACTCAAAAACGATGAAATTCCCGGTTTTTTCGACTAAAAGTCTCAATTTGCCTCCTAAAAATTGAACATTTATAGAATTCCCGACATTTTACACACCATTAATCCCTTCATTTCGATACACTTCCTTTTTTAAAAGCGAAAAAAGTCAGCAAATTCTCCTAGACATTGGAATAACACCCTTTCCCCTTTCCCTCGCCCCGCTCGGCTCGCCTCTTCTCTCTCTTTTGCGAACCAAGCTGCCGGCCCAAGTAGTATAGTGGTTAGTACTCCACGTTGTGGCCGTGGCGACACAGGTTCGATTCCTGTCTTGGGCATCCTCTTTTTTTGTGCGGGTTTTGGTGGAAATTAAAGCTGTAATCGATGAGTGATTCTTCGACAGGGTGGGATTTTGGTTTTTGATGGACTTTTTGGTGAATTAGACGTCGATTTAGAGTGAAAATAGCATTTTTGGATAAATAAAATGGAAGCTTATTACTTTTTTATTTTCAGTGGCAGTGATAAAGTCCCCGTATGTGACCAAGGACGTGGACAGCAAGTCCACAGACGTAAGTCCATCATCTCCCAACGTTAGAGACAATAAAAACCTAATAATTTTAGGTCAGCCTCCCTCATACTCCAATTATGCGCCAGCCAGTCGAAGTTGATCCGAATGTTATGGCCGGAATTGTCTCATATCTTGCTAGGAATCCTCTTGAAGATGATGACGCCGCACTTCGTCCAGAAAACCAGAAAATTACTCTTGTGCCGCCATATCGGGTCTCAGTGTAACAAAATTTTTTGTATAACAGTAAATATTGATGGTGAATTTGGAATTTAAGTTATGCGAAATGAGTAGTTTAAGTTATGCGAAATGAGTAGATCGAAGTACTTGGAAATGATATATGTTTTATACGCCACAATGCATTTCCTACTGTATCACTTACAAAGAATATCATACCTCTTATCTGGAAAACAATGAACGCCAAAAATTCTTGGCATTCCGTCTCTCCCGAAAAATAAATAAATTTTCCAAAAAACCCCTTGAATTTATGGGATTTTCCACTCGATGGGTTACTAATTTACTCCCAAAATTTACGAAAAGTCTCCTGAGAATGCCCGTACCCACCACCAGCGCGTTGGCCGAACAAAATTTCCTTGTTGTAGTAGCTGGCTGCACTGGAACCGGGAAATCGGATCTTGGAGTGGAAATTGCCAAGAAATTCGATGGAGAAGTGATCAATGCCGACTCTATGCAGCTTTATAAAGGTATGGAAGTCTGTTTTGTTTGGTTTTATGTTTAGGTTTGGACATTGTGACGAATAAAATCACTGATGAAGAAGCGCAAGGGATTCCTCATCATCTTATTGGATTTCTCGAACCGGCGGACGAATTTAATGTCCATAAATTTCAAGAAAAGTGTTTGGAATGTCTGAACGACATCTGGAGCCGACGAAAACTACCGGTTATAGTCGGCGGAACTGCCTATTATATTGAATCAGTTATCTACAAAGACTCGATTGTCAAAGTTGGATCTGTAGGAGAAGTTGGTAGGTTGAAAATAGAATTCTAAGAGATGCAAAAGGTCATATTTTTACTTTGGCAAGACCTGAGATATTTAATTTTTATTAGATTTTCCCTCAAAGTCAACAATCTTTTATCCGGAATCAAGTCTAATATAAATTTTTATATTTTTTAGAAAATCTGCGCGAAGAAACCAAAAATAAGACAACCGAAGAGCTTTATCAGATGCTTAAAGACAAGGACCCTCAAGCAGCAGCACAAGTTCATCCAAATAATCGAGCACGAGTTCAGCGATCACTCGAGATCTGCACCTTGGGCAACTCCAATAAAAATGATCTCATTGGAGAGCAAGGAAAGTTGAGTTTCCCGAATACCGCGCTTTTCATTCTTGATGCAGATACGGAAGTTTTGGACAACAGGTTGGATGGGCGGGTCGATAAAATGGAGGCAAAAGGGCTAATGAAAGAACTCACCGATTTTTATACTAAAGTAAGGTCAAAGGTTCTTAAAACCTCCGAAATAAAATCTTAGTCTTTGTAATAAGTCTATTTACAGTATGGAGAATCCCTGAAGTCCCACGGAATTAAACAATCCATCGGAATCAAGGAGTTTTTGCCCTATTTGAACCTGCCGGAAGATGAGAGGGAGACAAAGAAAGGCGAAAAGATCAAGAAAAGATGTGCCGACGTCTTGAAAATCAACACCAGGAAGTACGCTAGGAAACAGAGAAACTGGTTTACTATGAGATTTGTCCGGAGGACCGAGTTAAGAGAGGTAACGAGAGTTTTTTTATATTGCACTTGATATCTGATGGTATTATTTTGAAAAAATGGCGGATTTTTTTGTTTTTTTTATCACGACTAAAGCTTGTAAATAGAACATAAAATAACGTAGATTATTTCCAGGTACCTAATCTCATCGTTCTCAACACTTCGACCAGATTTTTCGAACAAGTTGTTCCTTTTGCCCTACAACAACTTGAAACGTTCTTCCAGACGAGTGAATTCGACAAATCCATTAAAAATAGTTGTGTAATTGATACTGGAGACCTTGTCCCCATTACTGACCCAAATTACGCCCAAAAAGCCAATCAAATGCAACATTGTGAGGTATGTTGTTTGAGCCTCATGGATAAGGTAAAAATCTCAAATTTCAGGTGTGTAAACGTGATATTCATGGAGAAGTTTGTTGGCAAAGACATCTTATGGGCAAAAAACACCTTTACAATGTAAGAAAACAGGGAGCAAGCCAAGGGGAGGTAGTGGAAGAGCCAGAAATTCCCGAGAAAAGGCAGAAACTCGAACAAAGCTTGTAAAAATAGTTGTTTTTTATTGTTATTGTTGAGAAATATAAAACTATTGTAATATTTTTGTTGCATTTGACATAAATTGAAGGAGTTTTACTTGGTTTGGCGGTAAAATCCGTACTTTTCGGGAATGTTTTTGCAGGTTTCATCGTATAAATTGTCGCTTTATCGGTTTGACGCGGAAACTTACGTCTCGAAGCGAAAACAGTCGACAGTAAGAATATTTCCGCAAAGAGTGGGAGGTTTCGACAAAGTTTTGTGGTCGATTTTCGCTAATAACTTGTTCGCATACTTCCTTCGTTCAATCGGATTTTTTTGTAAGTTTATTCGGTTTTTTTGATTTTTTTGTCATAACGGGATTAGGAAGTAGACAATGTTTCGTTTTAGGCATCGAAATGGCCCGTTCCGCCCAACAAGCTCGCAGAGGAAAGCAGCGAAAGGCCGATGAGCAGCAACAGCAAGAAGAGGACTCCAACCAGGGTAACACCACCTTGAACGAGTCCACCGCTTCGGCTGCCGAACAGGCCGTCCAGGAGACCCCTCAGAAGAAGACCGAGGAGGAGAACAAAGCCGCCGAAGAAGGAAAGGATGCTGAAGTTGAAGTTGCCGACGAGGCTGATGAGAATGCTCCGACCGAGAAGTCCGATGAGGTAGAGGACGAGTCTGCCGAGGAGGAGGATCAGGAGAACAAGGATGCCACCACTACTGAGGTGAGGATGTTTTTCTTGAGTTTCATAATTTTAGGTAACAATTTTAGAAAAGAATTATAAATCCGTCCATGATTTTTTATAAAAATAGCTGTATTGGATATAATTATAGATAAGATAGTTTTATAATTCCGCTAATGTCTTTAAATTTCAGGCCGGTGATCAGGAACTGGCTCCAGATGCCTTCACCAAGAAGCGCCAGGTCGAGGAAGCCCAAGGCGAGGGTGATGAGACCAATGATGTTCCGGAGAAGAAGAGCAAGGTTGATACCGAGGCTTGAGCACATTTTATCCCTTTACCAATATTAATATTTGTTTCTGTTGTATGTTGTCCATGAGTTGTTGATTTTTTGTTGATGAAGTAATAACGTTTTCGATTTTTTTATTGGATGGGGTATCAATATATATTATTAGCTCCTACGTAGGAAAAAGCATGTATTCAGGAATTCTGAGAAATCGTTTACTTATACATGAAAGATCATGGGTGAGATCGAAGAAGTGAAATGAAGTCAGTAAACCATGAAAATTGACCTTTCTATGGATTATAAAGGACGTGGATGTTCTTTCGGCGTCTTGGTTCATCTCCTTGGAACAACTTGTGGGTGAATTTCTTGGTGTCGGCTGGACAAAGCACGTAGTCAAAGGCAATTCTGTCGCGGCTAACGTCAATTTCCCCCCATTTGAAGGGCTAAAAAAATCGAAAATTGTTAATCCATGAAAATTAAGGCATTTTTATTCTATTCTTGTCAAAAAATCCGTTCCTAAAGACTTTAGGTGTGAAATTACGTAATTATTACCTAAAATAACATAATTTTTTAGCCAAAAGTGGAACTTTGCATTTCTTTCTGATCCCTTTACCTGCATATTGATCCAGATGAGAACTCTCTGCCTGGGCTTCAGGATCCCACACGGGGGATTGGCGGTGAGTCTGGGAATTGCGTTACTTTTCATGGCAAACGCCATAGTTCTGGGGGTGTTATTTTTGATCGTCAAATAGTAGGACAGAACCCCGTCTTCAAAGGGAGCGTTGAAGACCAGGCTGTTCGTGGGTTCGGTGATGAAATCATTGGCAGCAACGGGCATTGCGGCCCCACGGAAGTTGAGGCCGTTCTCATCCGAGCTGAGTCTGTACTGCGATGCGTTCTTGGCCATCTCATCGCGGTAATTGCTGTTCTGCTGCGGATGACCATCAGCATCACGGGTAGTTCCTAAAAATAAAACTTTAGGCTATGGAATACTCATTTGCGGGTAAAAGTTCCTTTTTCTTGCCACAACTTATAACCTTGCGGAAACTGGTCAGAATTAGTCCAGATTCGGCGTACAGGCTCAATTCATCGTTGTCAATGCCCAGAGAGTGGATTTAGTTAGTGAGGTTCTTCTTTTTTACATACCACCTTACCCTTCAAAAACGGCTGCAGCCTGCGCTTTCACACTTTATACGATGAAACATGTCCGGAACTAAACTTATTGCCTTCGTGTAGAACTAAATGAGTCGTCATAGCCCTCGTAGGTACCTTTAAAACTACAGAGCTATTACAGTAATTCAGTGGCAGCTAGGGCGAAACCTTTTTCCCTAACTTTAGCTCCCAAGCTTGGGCGCAGTTTACAGAGTACCTTTGTTGTGGCCAGAATAAGGAACTTTTTCCAAACTTTCTTACCAGACGGAACAGACGTTGCAGATGGGCTTTCTGCAGTTGGCTGAGAAGCTGTCTCGGGCTGGGGAGCGGGTTCGCTTTTACTATTTTCGATTGCAGTCGTGACAGACGACTGTTGAGCAGGGGCGTTGTCCTTGACGGAAGGAGATTCTTGAGGCTGAAAAAAGCGGTAAAAATTTAAATGGACCTCGTCAAAAGGTCTATTTTATTCAAGGTTCTAACGTTAGCCATCTTATATTACTCTTGTTTAACCGGCTTACTCGAGAAGAAGGGTTCTCCTTGACAATCTTGGCAGCTTCTTCTTCTGGCTTCTCTGGCGGCGGTGATTTTCGACCCTTAGATTTCTGCTCAATCTCGCTGATAGCGTCCTCGAGCTTCTTCTCCTTCTGTTCGAACTGCTTAGTCAATTCAAGAAGCTTCTCGGCGTATGTAAACGGTTTCAGGAACAAGAGAGCCAGCAGGACCAACTAAAACATTGTTTTAGAGAAATAACAGACAGCTCGGGCAATTCTGCAGACAAAATGGCGCCATCTCAAAGCCAGAGGTATTTTACAGCTATTCCTACCATAATCTCTCAAAACCCGGCCGTTCTCCCACAAGTTTCGACCTTATTTTATCTTCACATACCTTGACGATGTAATAGAGCGGAATACAGTTCTCAAAGCCGGTGTCCAACACGGTGAGCAGTCCAAACACCGACCAATAGACTTGAAGATTCTGAGTGGACGGTTTTTCATCCACGTAGACGTAGCACAACAACAGTGGAACAGCAACGCCGATGGCATTGGCCAAGAATTGAGCGTGCTCTCCCACCGCCAAATACATTGACAGAACGGCAACTAAAATGACCGCAATGTGCTCTTCCTCAAGTCCGATTCTTGCTCTGGCCTCTCGCAGCCATCTGGCCGGGAAATGAACCTAAAACAGAGAGAAATGAATATTGGACTTGGTGGAGAAGGCAGGCTTTGATGAAAACCTCGTCTTTTTATGCAAAGAAAGACCTCACGAGTGCATTAAAGTCCTCACCGGATTCTTGATGATCTCCAACACATGCTCTTGAGCTTCTTGCATGCTCGAAACCTTGAAAACAAAGATCCGATCACTTCAACAGAAACCACCAATCGTCGGCAAGAAAGAGGAGGTAATAAAACCAATTGATGAATTTGCCACAAAATTCTATTCCATTGTAACGTCTCATTTGCATAATTGAACCTTCCACTTGCAAAATTTGGAACGTTGATCAAAGTGCACCGTGCGAAAAACCTTCGGAACGTTTGATCGTATAAAATGGTCATCCAAGCCGCGAGAATCTCGGGCGCAGCTTGGGAATTGTGGGATTTTATTTTTTTAGTTTCTGATGTGACATCTTGTCAGTTTCGACATATTTGCCTTGGTTTCCTTTACTTTTACATCATTTTGGCAGAAAATAATTTTTTTTATATCACTTTAGGTAGCAGAATGTCTCGTCGTCCGGCTCGAAAGACCAAACAGCGGAAAATCGTAGAAGAAGATGAAGAAGAAATGGAAATTGACGAGCAGCCCTCTGCATCGGCAGCTTCCGCACCTCAAGAAACCCCAAAAATAAACCACGAGCAAGATCTCGAGCCCAAAATAAATGGTGAAGTAAAAGAAGTTAAGAATCACATCAATGAGGACGATGAAACCGTTGTTTCTGAGGTAATACACATTTTTTTGTTATGTTTGATGTTTAGGCGAGCTTATCGAAGAATTTTCTTGAGCATGAAAGAAGTTCTAAAAATATAGATATATTTTATTTGATGTTCGTCTTCAAATCGATTCTTTTCAGATACCTTTGATCCTACTGAGGCCGTCAGAGAACCAGACAGTTGATAGGTTATTATTCAACCACCCTAGGCCGGCTAGTTTAGAGAATTGCACAGCAAAACATAAATCTAAAGTCAAACATGTTGAAATAACTTATACCTCTAAGACTGATGATCGTTTCTCCGATAAAAAGTAAGTTGGTGTCATTAATAAGTCCAAAGAAGACTTCATCTTTGATTTCCAAGCTGCTGAATTTATACTTTGACTAATTTTGACGTCTTTTAGAAACGTTTTCGACGGGCAATATTTTGGTGAGTCCACAGCGTCCTCAAATCAGTTAGAAACACATGCCTGCGCTTTTTATCATGATGGTAAGTGTATTGCCTAACTTTTTAAAGGTTTTAAATTTAGGAAAGATGTATTTGGTCCCGATACAGAACACTTACGACATGCAGAGGCGAGTCTTCAGCCAAAAGGAGCAAAATGAAGTGGAGAAGGCGAAACTTGGTAGGCTTTTGTATTTTTATGTTTCATTTTTAGGTTGATAAAGGTGAATGTGGTATCCTGAATATTTTTTTGGTAAAAGCGTTTGATATACTTGTTTAAACAGGCTGGGATTTCCGTAGAATTTACCGGTTTACTAATTTTCATATTATCCATGACCTTTAATTGAAAAATTTTCCTTTCAGACGACGAGAAATTGGCTCAACTCAACGCTCCATCCGTCGCAAATCCAGTCCGCATCCGCTTCGCCCGCCAGGAAACGGAATGGCAGAAGAAACGCCGGGAACAATCATCCAATTATCGCCAACAACTTATAGATCAAGACCCCTGGATTAATCTCCAAGTCCGCAAAGATCAGCCAGTCCTCGCGTTCTCGGAGCAAATCCAAAAAGCCGAAACTTCGGAGCCCGCTCAGTTTGAAGAGGACAAAATACCGGTACTTTAGCCACTTTCACATTGTTTTAGCGTGATAATTTTTGTTATAAATCTAGAAAATTAGAGCGTATTTTACAAAGAAATACTTGTTTTTTGACCAATATTATGTCTTGTTTTCAATAACAACAAAAAATAACAAATCCAACTAGCTCTCATTATCCTCATCGTCATGATTACAAGAGCATTCGTCGACTGGCACAAAGATTAGTGGCATCTGAGCGAGCTGTTTGTAGCGGAATTCGGTGTCTTCGGGGATTTTGAATTGATGACAGCGGTCTATCATCTCCTAAAAAGATGTCATGTATAATATAAAAATTTTGTCAACCACGAATAATATTTTTGTTAACATCTAAATTAAACATTGTTTTGTATCCCAAGATTTTTTTGCACCCTAAATTTTCGCGGCGGGACGCACGCACGTCGCTGGAACAGTTCCCGTCCGCCGCACCGTGCGAAACCCTCTTGGGATTGGGTTCAGTGCGGAAAGCGAATTTTGACCGCACCGTGCAAATTTTTGCGACCCCCATTTTCCCGATTTCGGCAAAAAACCGGCAAATTTTGCCGACAGAAACAGTGCAAAAGCGACACACAAACTGCACCGTGCATTCGGCGTTTGTCGCTCTTTTTGCACTGCGCAACCCAAAGATTGGCTGGAATTGGTGCGCGCACTGTGCAATTGAAGTCGCTCTTCTTGCACAGTCGTAATCGTCTCGAAAATATGCCTAGAATACCCTATACAATTTTGTCGCTGGAGTGCCTTTCGCATGGTGCGGTGAAATTTCGGTGATTGCACTGTGCGACGGAAATTGGGTTGGCTGCACGGTGCAACTTGGCGTATTCCTTATTTTAGCGCTATTAAAGGCGGAAAAGGAGCGTTAATAACGGGAGAACAAGAGGAAATGACTGGATTTTTTCGTCCAGGGTGTGGTAAGAGAGGACCAGTATAATTTTGAGAGAGAAATTTATTTTCTTAAAAAAAAAAAAAAAATAAAATTTTTGTTAAGTTTAGGTAATTTTTGGTCTGCAAAACAGTTTTTGACTCTGAAATCGGGAAAATTGAAGGCCAAAAGGGAGAGTAAAGTTTGAGGTAGGATTGTGATGAATATCCAGTAAATTCCTATGGGTTTTATTTTTAAAATAGAGTGCCGGCCCTGATCCAGTGGCAAAAAACGTGCTATTTTACATCAGAAAAGTATCAAAAATGTAGCAAAATACCTCCATGTTCCAAGTAAAAAACTCTGCTTTCGAAAGCGCTCCCTTCAAAGCGGAGTTTTTTACTTGGAAGGGGAGGCATTTTGCTACATTTTTGATACTTCCCGGATGCAAAATGGTAAATTTTTTGCCACTGGATCAGGTCCGCTGCTGTATGATATTTTTTGCTAGGTGCTAGATTTCCAAAAAAATTTGAATTTTCGAAAAAAAACTAATGCCTAAAACATAAGAATTACGCTGAGTTAGGCCCTAATATTTTTCTGTTTTTCTGATAGCCCATAAGAATCAAAGATAAAGTCCCAACTTACTCTAATAAGACAGTTCAAAGACTCCTTATTATCATCCAAATGAACCAAACGTTCCAACTGCGCGATCCATTTTTGAATTGCGTAATATTCCGAGTGCCGGACGGCACAATAATGTCGTCTATAGCCCATCCACGCTGAACTATGAATATACGTATGGACTTCCATATCATAATCCCGGATTTGATATAAATCTCGGGCGTTCTGCTCGGTCAACGGAATACAATTGAGTCCATTGGCGTGAAGCGCATCGGAAACGAATTGATTTGTCTGAAAATTGGTGAGAAATGCAAGGTATCGTGTGTAGAGTACAGTATCTTACCAGTCGAAACCTTCGGAACCAAACGATCGCATACAGAAAACAGGTCGTCCCAATCAACCAGAAGAAGACTCCATGATAACGGAAGTTCTCGGCATGCCTCCAACGAAGATACCCGCCAGCGGACAGGAAAATGCAACAAGCAATAAAGCCTGAAATCAAAGTTGAGTACGAGAGGTTGAGAGGGTTCTAAAAATTTTCTAATCTCAGCACTTTAAGACAGGGTGATTCAAAAAAGCACATTTTTCTTTCTTTAATTTTTCTTGGCTTTGAACGTTTATCGGAAAGAGCTACCCATGGCATGAAACTACTACGTTTTGTGAACATTTTCACTGAAAAAATTGTTTGCTAGTTGCAGAAGTTGCGGGAATATGGTTGCTTGAAGTTGCCGGGTCAGCGCACCCATTCCCGCAGGAAATCTGAAAAATTTTCGCTACTAAATGTCCAAAGGCTATAACAGAGACCTGCTGAGCGGCCTGAACGAAACATAGACGCCCATCCCTCAAAATTCAGTCGTCAGATTTTCTTGAAATTTTGGGTTTCACTAGGCTTACAAAGTAACGGAAATTTTAGCTCAAGCCTTGCCGGAGCGATCGAAAAATACTTATCTATCACCTTGACCAAGAACGTTAGGTCAAAATTTTTTACTATCAGCATGTCGGGAAAATAGCGAGCGCAACGTCTCATAGAAAATCACAGCTGAGAAAATGATTAGTGTTTCGGAAAACTCAAATTGCTTTTCACTTCAGCGACGCGATTGGCATAGCGACATTGTGCTCATTATTTTCCCGACAAAATGATCGATTTCCGAAATGTGAAAAATTGTTTATACTAAAAAAGTTCTTTGTCAGGCTGACTCTCCTCAATTCCTGTATCCACAAAAAAATTGTTGAATATCTCGGCTGTTTCTGCAAAGAATGAGCTAAAATTGTATATGGTTGATGTGTAGAATGTGTGTAATATGGATTGAAAATTTTGAGAAAATCAAGATGGGGAGACCTTCGTTAAAATTGTTTTTATGTATACATGTATAATAAGGCCTTCCCATGCGCAAAAAAGCGAAAACAAGATCGTCGAAAATCCCGACTGTCTGTGCAGAACACGAGCTAAGATTTTCGCGAACTGAATCACAGCCCAGAGTGACCTTGCAACAATTACTTAAAAATGAGTGACATACCCAAATAGCACATGATTTTAGTCGTACGATCCTCTCCGGTTCCATACGACCCTTTCCACGCCATTTCGAACAAATTTATCGTGGCGAAAAATGCGATAATTGTCGTGATTATTTGAAAAATCACCATGAACATCAACTGAAAATCTAGTTTTTTCATTCCCGATTTTTTTCGAAGCCAACAAGGTTCAAATAAACTTACAGTAGCAACTTGAAATTTTTTGAAAATGCTGACATCTCCCGTTTGATTGTACAGTAGCTTTACTGCCAGTAGAAATCCCACAAACTGTGTTGCAGCACATAAGACGAGAAGGAATCGGAACGGTTTTCTGGGCTCTGTCATTGCCTTGCGTCTGCCAATATTCAAATTTTGATCTTTTGGGATTTGCATGGACATTATTTTCGAAATTTTTTGTATCCAAAGTTTCGTAAAAAAAGTGACAAATCTCCGATAAGCAGTAGACAAATTTTTAGGAAGTAAAATACAAGCCTTCAGGGGAGTTATTTTGAGGGTTTACGAAAGTGTCAAACCATAAAAATCGGAAAATTTTTCGCAATCTTTAAAGGCGTCTTCCGTAATTTTTTGACAAGACAAATAAGTCATACGAAGAGCAAGAAAGGAGGAGGAGGCGAGCTTGTATTGTGAGTATCCTCAAGGGGATTTTGGAGACAAATGAAAATAGAAATCGGAGGATGACAAATAATATAATACATCAATGTTTTATAAATCGAAAAGGAATGTTTTGAGATGAGTTTCATGTGCTGAAGATAAAAATGTCAGCATGAGAAAACGTATTTTAAAATGTGATTAACAGGGGAGTACTCCAAGTGCGACACTGTGATTTTGATGAAACTTGGCACAAATTTAGAATTATTTTTTCTAATATATATTCAAGAATGCTAGCTCGCGCTTTGCAGAAACAACCGAGATTTTTAGATCGAAAGTCGGGGAAAATTTTGGAATTTTTGCCGAATTTCGGCACGAAAAGTTTCATGCCTATTTCAACTGTCAAGAGTAATGTTTCTACAAAAAATCAAAATTTTCCGCACGAAACTGCAAAAGTTATGGCCAAAAAGCGCTTTTCTCTCTGACCGCTCTCCACATTTAGCGTGCTCTCTCGGCGGCAAATGTCGTTCGATATCTCGGCGACGCCCGCAAAGCGCGAGCTAAAACTTTCAGGAATTGATATTTAGTCTATACCCGACACGTGTGAAAAATTTAAAGAAAATCTGAGCGTCGCACTTGGAGTACTTCTGTAAGGAGAAAATATGACAACTTGTAACGTGTACAGTTTTCTAGCAAAAAAGGTGTTTGCAATGAGGGCTTTTCTTAAAATTTTGCACACATTTGGGATAAGCCTATGTAAACACATGTTAGTTTCTGAAAATTTTAGCTCGCGCTTTGCAGAAATAGCTGATAAATGCAACTATCTCTGTTAGTGAGAAAAATGCCGTAAAAATGCGGACAAAGAGCAATGTGTTTTGGCCTATATAGTTTTTGGCTAATTTCAACCGGAAAAATTTATTTTTCGGTGTAACTTTGCTTCGGTAAAAATAAGACATAAAGTTTTTTATAGATAAGCTCGCAAAAAGAATTACAAATCTGGGTTGTTTCCGCAACGCGCAGTCTTAAAAAAACAGTCTATATCGCTGCTAAGTTTCGATAAAATTTGAGTGTCGTAGTTTGAGGATTTCATTGTAAAATACCTCACGTTTTCATCAAGATTTATGGGTTGCTATTTTTAGAACTTTTAGGCTTCTAAATAATAAAGCAGGTAAACAATAAATAAGCGCTATTTCCTATCACGTGGTTCCCAGAAATTTATAAATCAAGCCCCAAAAAATCTCCGGTTTCACTCATCGTTTCAAATCCCACCTCCAAAATCATCTTTATTACCCGCAAGCCGGACAAAGTTCAATAAAACGAAGTATAATTCGAAAATCAAAGCCTTGGAAGACTTTATCGTTTTTTGCCCGAGGCCAATCTTTTTCGGATACCCCTCTTCCACTCATTTGTTTTGCCAATCAAAAGGGTCATATAAATCACACTGTTCCGGCGCTGTTTCACGAAAAGGTCCAAGTTTGAATTAAAGGGAGAGGAGGGAAGTTATTTATCCGATAAAACGAACCAGCCATAATATTTGTGTTTGTTCGGAGGGCCGGAAATTAGCAACCGCGAGGGTTGTTGGAAAAAAGAACAGGAGAAATGGAAAATTTACATATCACTTGAGGGTTCAATTTACAAGGGTCAGATCTTCTTTAAATTTTGCACACATGTCGGGAATAGACCAAATATAAGTTCCTGAAAGTTTTATTTCGCGCTTTGCAGGCGCCGCCGAGATATTGGACGATCTTTGCCGCCGAGAGAGTACACTAAACGTGGAGATGGGGCAGAGAGAAAAACGCTTTTTGGTCATATCTTCGCTAGTTCCGTGCGGAAAAAAATTTATTTTTTGTGGAAACATTAACCTCTATGGTAGAAAAAGGCACGAAACTTTTCGTGCCGAAATTCGGCAAAAAGCGTCAAATTTTCACCCACTTTCGATCTAAAAATCTCGGTTGTTTCTGCAAAACGCGAGCTAGGAGTCTCGTATGTATTTTAGAAAAAATTACTCTAAATTTGTGCCAAGTTTCATCAAAATCTGAGCGTCGCACTTGGGGTACCTCCTCTGTGAATTTGAAAAGTTGCCTTCAAAATACACACATTTGTTTGTCGAACTCTTTTTGTACTCTTTCGAACAAAACTATTGAAACTCATTTGTTGCTGTTCTCCTACTCTGATCGGCGGTGTTCCTCTTCATCGCCAAAAATGCCCAATGAAGTCAAGATGAAGCCGAAGGCGGTGGAAAACAAGAGGAAGCCAAGAGGGATGGTCGGCGCTCCCCGCTCCTATATCAAGAGCATGCAACAGGACTTGAACTATTCAATTCAGGTGAAACCGACCCAAATCGTTGTGAGTTTGTCGGATTATTGGCAATTTTAGACCTTTTTTGAGCATTTCCTGTCTTTGAAAAATTTAAAAAATGATTTTTTCTAATTCTTCCAAGCTGCGCCCGAGTTACTGTAAATTTTTCGACGGCCAAGTGAAAAAAAATATTTTTGAATCCTTTGTATTTTTTTTTTCAGTTCGACCCACGGCAATTCTTCGTGACTCTCTTCATTATCAATACCTGCGCGAAGCAGCTCTGCTTCAAAATCCGGCCTCCATCTTCCAAAATCTTCACTGTGACTCCGCTCTCCGGCTTCATCAAGCCTTTCGAAAAGGCTTACGTTGTCATCCATCGACCGGTACGAACTTTTTCTGTCTTATTTTACATATTTTTACATGGGACAGTACGTATTTTACAACCTCAATGTCCTGGTGTTTTTTTAGAAGCCAATCGCTCACAATGACAGTTTATTGATCGAATTTGGACCTGATACTGGCGTGGAACATGCTGCTGTTCTTTTCGATGACAAATGGGTCGATTCGGAAACTTTGAGTGTTCCGGTTTTCTCGAAGGGCCCTGGTGGGACGTGAAGCGGGAGAATGGCGATGAAGGAGTTCATTGAAGAGCTGATTTGGATATTTTGGAGTAAATATGAATTTGAATGTGGATTTGTCATCAAAAAAAATACTGATTGTTAATCTACAGTAATCTTTTATATACTCTACAGTATCCACCATCGAATTTCATCATGCATATGATGCAAATATCAAAAACAACACTGATTATCAGCCGTCTGAACTGCCCGTCCCTGACTCATATCCGGGAATTTAATCGCCCGAAAATATCTGGCCATCTCGATTTTTCGACGCCGCACGTGATCGCTTATAAACGTTACAAAAGGCCGCCACTTTCGGAATTCATCTTCGTTGCCAATTCCTATTTCAGATAACGTCATTTCCTGCATTTTTATCGCCTTTTAAAAGCTTTCGAAAAGGCGCAACAGGAGTGGTGTGAAGTGGATATATTGTAATTACTAATTAAGGGGTTGGTGGCAGAAAAAACTTTGTGTTCTTGGAGGAGGAAAGTGCTGAGAACTTTTGTTTGCTGTTGTGGATGTATTTTGGAGGAATTTGTATTGTAGTTGTTGCTTTCATAAGTGTTTTTGATGGGTTAAAGGGCGAAAAAATATGGATCAAAGTGGCTTTCCTGTATTTCTGCCGCATTTAAATATGGTTACTGTATCAGTGTCAGTCTGTTGGGAAGATGCATTGTCGCCGAAAAAATCAAACAAAATCAATTTTTTTCGCTTCAGCGACGCGATTGATCTCATTATTTTCCCGATAGACTGACAATAGAGCAGTTGAAAAACTCGAAAATCCAATCTTCTTTTCTTCTGCCCTGATTTTGCCAATACAGCTTCATTGAAGCTTCTAGCTTACTCTTTACAGCCAGAGCTGACATATCCGTCAACCTTTTTTTGCAACACAGTAAATTCAGACCCGATGACTAAAAGAAGAACTGTTTCTTGCCAGACTTCTTTTATCTTTTAGCCTAAAGAACTCTATGGCCATATATGGCTACTGAAAATAACGGAGGTGGGTGCCAATTCTCGCAATTTCCCTTCGAATGTAGCTGAAAGGCTGCAGATACATAAAGTTGCCTTTAATATCGCCTACAGCGCAATTTGCGTGTATAATACATACGTAGTATGTGAGACGATGAGATAATTTCTTACTATGTAAAAAAACGAGCGAGATCTGAATTTATGAATAGCTTTCTAATCTCACATGTAAACACCCCAAAAATAAATAATTCCAAGAACCTCCACGTTTTTTTCACTAAAAACTTTTGACATATATAAATAGCACGTAACTAATGTTTACTACATTTTTGAGCATTACTTTTGAGTGTGTGTATAGGAACCAGGAACACATTCGGGGTGTATAGTTGTTAATGAATCGCTCCAATCTATCTTTTGGATACTTACGTATAAGGTCTTTCTTTAGCGCCACATCTTCTGTCATGCTTGAGTAGAAAAAAAGATAAGTCCTACGCTGAAATTAGAGCTTCTTATAGTCTGTGCAGCCTACGATAATTCAGCGACGTTTAAGCATTAGTTCACTCAAAAAATTCTGGTGTTTGTATTACCGTAGAAGTGACTTATCATCTGCTGATAGCGGAGTCACACTAAACAAGCTCTCATGATTCGAACAGAATACCTAAACATGCTGCACTAGCTTTGGAAGTTGCCACAAAAAATTGTATTTTTTCGAGCAAGCGTTTTTCGAAAATTCTTTCTTTGCTCCCGTAGCGAAAACAGTCCTTCTTATGCATAATAACACAATTATTTCGTACTTGAAATCGCATGGGATCACATGCTCTAAGATGTGGCGTAATATCTTCTAAATGTTGTATAGTCTCACGCCTCTACTTTTGTCATCGTGTTTTTCTGGATTGACCGTATCGAAGTCTTCAGAGTTTTTAGGCTGCCGGAAAGACGATTAAAATATTGACAGCTTCACAGACTGAAATTGCCAACAGTCTCCGATCTTGAGGATAAAAGAATGAAGCTTATGACAAATATTTTCGTCTAATCTGAAAAAATCTTGCTAATAAACCCACCTATTTTTTGTCAACATTCTTAGACCGATTAATAAATGGCTGCACCTGGAAAGCGTGGGCTAAAATTATCGTCGGCTGATGTGTGGGATGGAAATATCATCTATGAAGAATTTAAGGAAGCTCTGTCTAAGTGTCGCACTTTGTACTAATAAAGGTCTAGCTGTTGCTTTTTTTAATGAAATTTAAAACTCCTTTGTATTTTACGTAAAAGAACATTTTTGGCAAAAGCGTTTTAATTAAATTTTTCAAATTAAAATCCTTTAATCTCTAGTTGAAAATAAAAGGAGGCAGCAACTTCTAGTCCGTTTTTAAAGTCGTTAGAATGATTTAGTCTGTGAGAACAAGCAAGTTCATTTTGCACTGTGCAATTTTTGGCTTTTTTGGGCTGTACCTTGCACACTGTCTTTTTGGCACAGTGAATGTCGCCGAAATCCCTTCAGCGACTTTGTTAACGGACTGGTATTCGTTTATGTTAAAAAATTTGGCTGATAATATTGTAAACTGTTTCATATTTCTTTTGATAAAGTTGAGAAACATGCCTACATTTCTCCATAACCCACATTTCCCCCCTCCAATCGAACTTTTAAACTTTTCTTTTCTTTTTCCTGCGTTTCCTCCTTCCATTCCGGTGTTCCACCCTCCGACAATTTCCTTAATCGTCTTGCCCCTTTTCGTAATATTTTTCGCATTCCGCTTTCGAAACTTTCGCCCTCCCAAGCCCTGTTGATGTATATATTTGGCATTTGTCTTGGGCCGATAATCCGCTGTGGGATCCTTTTTGGGGAGATGTGGAAAATTGAATTATGGCAAGTTAAAGATAATTCTGTTATTGGGCGTTCTTCAGATTTCGTTTGTGTTTTGCTTTGGATAGAAGAGATCGTGAAACGCGTGGGTTAGTAATGTCGCAACTTATGTTAGTGCCAATTTTCATTAATTAAAAATGTTAGCTTGCACTTTTCAGACCTACAGGATTTCAAGGCCGAAAATGTAGCAAAAATCACTCCAGTGACTTTGCGAACGGACTAGTAATTTTATTAAGGCATTGCAAAATGTTGTCCTACAAAAGATGTTATACTTTTCCCAGGCAAGATCGGAAAGCTAAAATCAAAAAAAAACTTTTTTCTGCTTCCTCACGTTGCATAGTGCCTTACAAAAATCGAGTTGAATATCTCTGCTGATAATTTTTAAGTTCACAAGTCCCTAGTTGTAGATTTCAGTTTTTGCAACAGGACTTCCTCGAAGCACGCAGATGAGTCTTTCAGAAACAGGAAATGCCCGTTAGCTTGATTAAACCTTGTCGAACATTGCCTTTAATGTAAAAATCTTTGACCGCAACCTTTGAAAGATCATCCATATATTATATGCAGCCCTGTAGCAAAGAGCACCCTCACATTTTAATCTGTGACCAGTCTTTTTTATATGCGATCATTTCCCCGTACATTGTGCTTTGTTTCATGAGGTCGCTTGTTCTTCAGCGTTACTGTTTCGGAGAGAAAAAATCATGATGTCATAATACAGTGGGGACTGGACGGTTGTTTATTTATACATGTATATTTGGCTTGTAACATACCGAAGTGCAAAACATACCGTTCTTTTTTTCCTCTACTTACAGTTTCATACTATAACTCAGCTGCGAAATAGTGGTATGTACCTGCTGCACCCGTCATTCTTTTTGTTCAAAAATGACGTGTTTTTACTACCAAATGACGTGATGAGAATACAGTAGCAGTACAGGATAGATCAAGCTTCCGTTTTCCGATGATGATCTCATTTCTAGGATTGCCTTAGGTTGCCAAACGAAATTCGAATCCGAATCACTCATCATACATCATTATTCAATTTCTTTCTCAAGGTGTACCCTTCTTTATAAACAACCAATTTCCCCCAAATTACTTTAATTTCCCTGCATAATCACTTAAGTATACTCCCCGTACAATGTTTTGACCCCCCTCCTAACTCGGCCCAAAGTGTCCCAATTGAGACCAAATTTGGTATGCAGTCTACTCACAGGCTAGTAACGAAAAATAACATAGCAGGACATACCTTATAGTTGAATTTCAAAATCTAGAGGCAATTTTCAAAAATCACCTTAAAAAATCGAGGAAAAAGTTTTGACCCCCCTTAAAAAAAGTTAGGTATCGCCAGCGGAAGCCACCGGAACCTATCGTAATCGACGTCCCATACCTGAATACAGGTTAATAAATGGTTTTCCGTTGAATGCTTCGTTGCATTTGAGGATTCAACGCGTTAAACCGTTTTTGATGTAGAGGTGCCCAAAATGGTAAAAATCTTCCCCTAGCGTTTTCCAAGAGCTCTAAATTGGGTTTATATTTTGTGATTTAGACCTGTATTTACCTTCTCCTTTCGATAAAAGTGCATGGTGGCCTGGGAGTGTAGATTCGGCAGATACCCTGTTGTCATGCCCAGCCTTGGTGAACCATTTGCTCTTTGACTCAAGGTCGAGATGTGGTCGTTAGGTCCTCAATGTAATCCTGAGACTCCTATTTACTCTCAAACAAAGAATAAACTCCCGCTGACACGGTTTCATATGGTTTGCAGGCGTAACTTCGCCGATCTGCACCTTAACGAAAAACCCGCGTTTTTCAAATGGATTTTTAGCCGCCAAAAACGGCTTTCATTTGATGAACCAGGTAATATAAGACGCTACAGCACCCGCCATACTCAGTGGAGACGTATGAAACGCCAAATGTGCGGTGAGGATGTCATCGTACTCGGAGGCATCTACAGTAACGGGAGACTCAAGATTAAGGTGAATGAAAACCATTACAAAACGTGTCAAATCGAAACATTTTACATTACTGAGAGCAAATAGGAGTGTCAGAATTACATTGAGGACCTAACGAACACATCTCGACCTTGAGTCAAAGAGCAAATGGCTCACCAAGGCTTGACAAGAGGGTGTCTGCCGAATCTACACCGCCAGGCCATCATGCACTTTTATTGAAAG